TTGCTGTGACATCCGACAAGATGATGATGATGATATTTTTAACATGTTGCCACAGTGAACTTTCCAGTTTTTTAAAACGAATGCTGCTTATTTTTACTTGCTTTAAATAGGACGGGGGAAGATGGTCCCCCTCATTGAAAAATACCTATATTTCGAAAACTTTTTGTCGCATACTCCCAAAATTTGGTAAGTATTCTGCATACATATAGATCTCACCTCTTTAGCCACTCGGCAACTTCTGCCGTTTGTCAACCGTCGCGTATAGCATAGGCCATAAAAGTATCACATAACACAAAAGCAGTAAAAATTTATTTGCTTGCACTATTACACAAATCCCAGTCTTAACTACAAAAAATCTCGTGTGAATGCGTGAATATCGCGAAGAATTGTAAGAGAACAAAACAGTTATGGTCCTAAAATTTAGTATGCGAAAGAATATATGTATGCAAAGTAGCTTCAAGCAGAGAAGCCACCACAGTGAAATGACATAATGCTTCTTCCATAAACACCGGGGCAACTATCATGAAGCCACTTTTGGGATTCCCGGCGCTGAGCTCATCGTTACGTTTCTTTCTCTGTCTGTGAGCTGGATTTCTTGTAAAAGTTAGATGACGTTTTTTCTGCATGAGCTGACAGTACGGTTGCAAAGTTTTCACTTCTCAATACTATATTATAATTTCTGCCTGAATGACTTTTTCATTTCATATTTCTTTGCTTCAGCCTTGCCAGAAAGAATCACTCAATTTATTGAAAGCTACCTGAAATCACAATGGAGTTTTACCAAAATTTGCCTGGTCTCACCTGGTTCACTTCTGACAACTTTCTACCACAGTTTCATCAACATTGTAAATCTTACTGGGCTGATCAAAATGACATACGTCCTTTTGACGTTTTCTTACAAGTCAAAATACTCCGAGACGTCAGTTTGTTCAAGTTTGCCCTTTCTGTGAACAACGACTGAGGTTTTCTTAATGTTAAAAGGTCAGGGTGCCGAATTTAAACCCAGACCACTAATCTTTTCCAGCTGTACTCTATGACTTGTAAACCATCTCATACAGCAAACTCGTAAGTCAGTTTTTCTATGCCATTCACTGTTAATGAAAAAACCACAACTTCACAAAAATATTGAAAGTCTCGCAGAAGTGTTTTGGCAGGTGAAATCGATAGGTTTGGTAACGCGCCATACATATATACTGCCAAGAATATGCATATACCGCCAACTCATATATACATATACTACCAAGTCATATGCATATATAGCCAACTCAATATACAAATACAGCCATTGAGGTGATATACAAATGCTGCCAAGTCATATGCATATGTAGCCAACTCAATATACAAATACAGCCATTAAGGTGATGCACGAATACTGCCAAGTCATATGCATATATAGCCAACTTCATATACAAATCCAGCCATTAAGGTGATGTACAAATACTGCCAGTCCAATAAGCGCCAATCTCTGATGTCATAATACTCCACAACAGCTGATCTTTGATAATACCCACAACAGCTCATCTTGGATAACATGAAAAATTTGCTGGCTGGAAATTTTTCTTTAGTTCCACTGCGTTACCGGGGTAGGCTACATTCGAACACACCATGGGGCATTCTAACAAATTGAACGAAATATGCCGTTAAAAATTAGTAACCCGTAAGCATCACCATCTAACCAAATGTGGGACTTCAAATTTGGTAATTCATTGATTTTAAAATCAATGTTCAACTGAAATATTTCAGATATTCTCTCAAAAATATCCTTAAACAAATTGATAACATAAAACTACTTTATAATGAGTCATCATAAAATTACTCTTGAATATTTTAGATTCTTATGATTGAATCTGGAATAAATTTATTGTTTACTTTTGGTTTATGACTAATTTTAATTAAAACTGAGTTTTGTAACATTCATTCTCAATAATAACAGATCTTTGTTAAAAAGGCCATAAACATCAAATACGGGTTGTATACTTTTTTCCAGTTACTGTAATGTTCACTGTGTTCAATAAAGCAACAAAATCCACATCTATATCTTAACAAGTAAAATGTCCAATTTCGACCAAAAGCAGATAATTTACTCTTTCGAATACCCTGTAGAAAATATTTTTGAATTTAGAATATATTTATATATATATATTAATTTAGAATATATAAAACCTAATATAACACTAAACATAACGAGTTTCTAGGCCTCTGAGCACTCAATAGATGAAACACTATCGAGTTGTGCGCAGTGGAGCATGATTTTACATATGCTGCCAGTAAAGTTTTTGATGGGACGCATCATGATTTTTGGAAAAAATCTCATCTTGGGATGAGAATTGATTGCAGTTCTTACAAATACTTGAGTTGTTGTTAACGGAAAAGACATTACATTATCTCGGATTATCTATACTTAATGAGGTATTAAATAAAAAGTGAAAATGAAATAGAATGTAATATATCGCGGATTCAATATTTTATAATTCAATATTCCCTCTTCGAACGTTATTAATATTTCACAGTGGACTAAAGCAGGGGTGTGATAACTGCGGCCCACGGGCCAAATGCGGCTCGCAAAGAAAAATTGTGCGACCTGCGGAGAAGTTTCAATTTTGAATGGTGTGCCCGCGAAACGAGTTTTCAGTTTATTTAATCTGGTACGTGCGAGCAATTGCGCCGCAAAACCAGTACCTGAGTGCCACTGTCACATTAGCAAAATCATATCTTGCGTCGCTCTGCACGACAGCTGTCCGTTTGCGGGGACCTCGCAACTCACCAAAAGGCGGAGTCAAACTTCAAAACGAATGACTGATTATGGATTTAGTATAAGTACGAGAAATTTTCCACTGTGCTCCATATCCCACCGTGGCCCACCTTTCTCTATTGCCAATAACTCTCCACAAACTTATCAAATTAAAGTTTGTTTGAATTAACCAATTTCACCCATTTAGATCTTTCATACATCTACGAAATCATTTTTTCCCTCTCGCAAGCATTATTTCTTGTAATTTTGGACGTGAAAAATCCAAAATTGAGAGTGAACAGTGGGTATTATATTTAAAACAAAATTATGCCTTATTTTAGGCAATAGTTTGAGTGAGTTTAAACCAGATACTAATATAGCATTGGATGAGAAATAACTTGAACTGAATGAGAAATAACTTTAATTATCAGGAATTTGGGGAAGCAATGCTAAAATAATATTACATCAAGATCGCGTATTAGGCCTTAGCTGACTACTGACCTTGTTAATAAAAGTTCGACGGACAAGCGTGATAGATTGACCCATTCTCTTACATCATATAGAAGGGTACTTATGACTTAAATACGACATTAGCATTTAGTTGAAATATCTAGTCCCACCTGGGTCTCAAATTTAATTTGGTAAACTGAAATTTTTGCTGAGCCCCCTTTTGCTGAGACATTCTATCACATCTACTTTTAGCTAGTTGCAAGTTATTTTTCATATTTCTATCACTAGCCATGTTGGAGTTTCTGTAAGCGTAAGCACACTACCCCAATTCGTCAACCAACTTGGCTTCATCCTATAAATATATTCTGGCGATGCTTTCTTGAATAATCCATATGTTAAATGAGTAATGATTGTTTGCACCAAACTTTAATTTGATTAGTTCGTCGATATTTTACTGTCAATAGCCAAAGAATAGTTCACTGAAAAGAAATTTTTAATGTCGTCATTGGCAGCAGCACATTCCTCATGTTATCACAATCAGCTGTTGTGGGGATTTATCTTATGGCATCATGGATTGCAAACTTTTGTATGTATTCATGCACCACGAAGGGCTGGCAATGTATGATTCGTTACGAACAAATAAAATGTAGGGACTTGTCACTAGTGACTAAATGATGCTGATATCACAATGATTTGTGACATATATTTTACACTTATTCTATGTAACTTCCATCAAAAGCCGTTTGGAGTTTCTGAGAGTTATTTGTAAGATGCTCACCCTAACGCACTCATTATATCAATATGACTCCCAAGCTTGCGATATGTAGATGCAACCTCATCGATACATAATATACAGTAAGGTCATGGATATGGAATGAATTGGCGGTGTTTGGCTTATTTTCTCAGATCACACTTTGTCGAAATTTTAGAATCATAAGAACTGGCAATACTTCAACTTGTATAAATCATTTCTTATCCATCGACTGCTCAATGCATAAACTCTATTTTCACCAACTCTTGTTTTAATATTTATGCTGCTAAAGCCATACCTCCACTGTCATAAATTAAGTACAATACATCCTAAAGATATAAACATAATTTATTCAAATTCTAATTTTTCCACATTACAACAGAATCTAAGAGTTCCTCTAATTCATTCTCAACCTGGGGTTCGCGAACCCCCAGGTGTTCACGAGAAAATTTTCAGGGGTACTTGAATGGTAGTTGAGTTTTCATGTGTTGGTATTTTTTAATATCCTTTACTACCCAGGGGAAATGCGTGTCGATCAACACTCAGTGTATATTTTCCCTGATCTTGCGTTGTTTGACGCAAGTATGTGAAATCCATGGCTTTGCAGCCAAAATGTAAAATTTTCAAAGACAATGTGTTGTTTGCCTGTCTAAAATCTTTCCTCGTATTGAGAAACTAATTCGCAATTAAAATGGACAGCCTTTACATTAATGTTTTTTATAAAGCAAAAAAAAAATTTTGATAATATTCTTTACAATATATACGTCAGTATATTACAACTTTGTTTGGTGTTTATTATTTCACGACTCTGAGGTATACTTACCAGGAAAAAGGTTGAGAAGCCTTGTGTTAGAGTATGAACATATTTTATAATGATTGATCGTTTGATTATGGACGATAAACATTTACAATCGACCTAAAAGCTACCGGATCAAAGTTTACCAACTGACAAAATATTGCGCGTGCCTGTAACCATAGATGTTCATAACACAAATACGCTGTTATTGCCCCCATTTTATTGTATTCAAATACATTATATATTATATAAATATATTACATTATATAAATTATTCAAAATATCTAAAATGCTCCGTAAAACGTTGGATAATATATTTTTATTAGTGTAACGGAATACCACAACATAAGTCATTGCCTTGGAAGTTATATACAAAAAGTTTCAAAACTTTGTGTAAAAATTTTGTAACATAACACAAAGCATAGCATTTTGTTACGATGTGAAGAAAAATGTTTCTGTGTTTTTGTACTGTGTATTCATAAAAATGTTCTTTGTCGATGCTCAATTCTGTTTCTGCAAATCGGACAATCTGTTACATCACTCCTCATTCCGCAGCCATTACAACAACACACGTGACCACAAGGCCCAAAGAAAACATTCTTTTCTTCTGATAGACAGATAACACAAATCCTGTCTTCTGAAATTTCTGCAAAGTAAAATTGCTACAAATATTACAGAATGCATGTAGAAAAAAAATACTTCAATTGCAATCTTTATTATTCCATACCCTGAGTATTGTTCGTTACCGGTTCATGTTCAGTGCTGGGCGCCGATGGAGATGACAGTTCACTGCATGACATAGGTGGAGCTGAGGGTATTACCGATTCTGGACTTGGTTGGATATCTGAAATACCAAAAAATATTAAAAATCGAGTCTAATATTCCAAATCAAAAAAAAATTAATAATACAATTCATGATTTATTTATATATCGAAGTACGGCAAAATATATTAAATTTGTGAATATATATATAAATCCGCTTACCGAAGTCACAAATTACACAATTGGATTTGTTTAAGTTTCAGAATTTTCAGGAAATACGTCTCGATTCTATTCATTTTTTTTTTAATTTAACTATAACGGAAAACCCACTTCTCGTATTTTCAACATTCAACTTGGTTGGCGCACGGCAGAAAAGGCAACAGGATAAATTTGACGGGTTGACCCCCGAATTTGATATGAATAAAAAAAACATTTTCCTTTAACACATATAGCAATTTTTCGAAACTTGAAACGCTTCTAAACACTATTGATTCCACGTTTTCCGACCGAGGTCGGACCCGTTAGCTGTTACGGTCCAACTTGGCAATTAGAACACCCATTTAAATATTCCTGGCTATGCCCCTGGTATCAGTACTCAATATTTTATCGAAGGTCATTTCTAACATTATACTTACAATATACATGGTCATTGCTTATTTCTGATGGCGTGACTGGACGTGCCAGCGGTTGTGGTCGCGCAGGAATCGTAGTTTGCGGTTGCCGCGGTATCATATTGACTGGATAATCGTCTTCTGTTAAATCGTATAATGTAACTATAGAATCTGTGAAGCACCTTAGTTATAAAAGAAAACTTCACAACACATTATGTTTAATGTAATATGTTTATTACTGAAGACGACACCCTTGAATCTGCCGCGTAAACTCTCACTGTCCAATTCAGGCTTTTGGATATTGGAAATTATGAACATAGATACCTTGACATTGTTGGTAGTGAATTAATAAAGGTAAAGTAGGCTGTATTGAGGATGATAAAAATAAAAGCCAAATTCTAGCATTGACTAGGTAATAAAATACCAAAAATCAAATAAAACTCACCTTTACAGCAAGCTTTATAAGTTCTGTATGGTAGCATAGGTAAAAATATCAAACCTGGAAGTATAAAACAAGTATAAGTCGTGTAAGCTTAAGTACAGTTTTGGAAGAAAATTTCATAATTCCACTCGCAATGCAGCAAAAGAAGATATTGTACCACATATAAATGTTAAATGATATTTAATAACGCAGAACGCTCATTCTGACACCCACATTAGTCGGATTTTGTGCTAAATTTGCATACTAAAACAAAAGAAAATAATTCGTACCATCATAAGTAATTTCCAAAATATCCTCAAGCAATTCTCCTGAAAAATATGATTGGTAAAGTATTTGACATTGCACAATGTTTGATCGAATATTATTGGCTATGAGTCATAGCCTATGACCAGGGGTCGGCAACCTTTTGTCGCTCGCGAAGATTGCGTTAACTCGAGGTCACTTTTCAGTCGTCTTAATAAAACGAAATAAATTACAAATGACAATTATTGTGACACTTGTTGTTGTATCACGGTTGATAGCTTTTTGACATCACGTGGTACACTGGATGAAGCCAAGATTAGAACATTTTCTAAATGGGTACCACTAATCCGAGTTCTTAAATAGTTCTTTGTAATGTTCATTTTCGAAAAAAATTGTTCGCACGCATATTTACTTCCAAATATCAATGTGAATTTTTTCGCGAGGTTTGTCAAATTTGGAAAAAGATTTATTTCAAGAAGATACTTTTTATGAAAATCAAGCAGTGATACATCTATCGAATTGAATATGGATTTTGCTTTTCATCTCAAGAAGTTCTATTCGAATATTTGCTGCGCCATTGAACCCTCTACACTCAGCATCAACTTTCCAGCGTGTTGCCCTTTGTCTAATTATAGTTAAGTTGTAGCCTCGTTAAACGAGTAGCTAGCTGTTCACTAAATAGTTAGGGTATAATAAAATCTACACGTGTCTCACAATAAATTATGTTACGTAAAAATTAGAATCAACTCCTCGAGCGTGGATTATAAAATTAATTCATCGTCAAAACCGCCGTTTTGTCGCTATAGTTCAGTGAAGCGTCGCGGGCTGGATTATAATACTTCGCGGGCCGTGGGTTGTCGACCCTTGGGCTATACTATTGCAGTAACAGCAGCAACAGAAGCAGTGAAAATAGCAAAAACGACACAACTTGAGCTAATAAAATTCATGGAGCTGACGTAGTGGGTAAATTTTATACTTATTTGAAATACATATCATGAGAATTCAATTCTAACCAGTGGCGTAAATCTACGTAAAATTGCGCCCATGGCTAAGTTTAAAAATGCGCCCCTTGGCCGTTGACTAACAATTTGTAACGACTTTTGTTGAAATTAGATACTTGAACGTTATTAAAGTAAAAAAACAGGTTTCATTCCTTATTTGTAATTCTTTTATTCAAACATTTTACGATTGAGATTTTTTAACCTTCAAGCGTCCTGTCCAAACTGCGCAATTGGCACTAGCCATTAATGTTTTTAGTAGTCCTTTTGTATAGATAATTGTGTTTACAATGACAGCAAACACATTTATATTAGGCTGGTATTTATAGTGATTACTCACGTAATGAATCTTTAAACATGTACACAGGAATAAACAACAGGATTAGAATAATTCCCCACATAACTCCGAGAATCCAAAAGTTCCCGGATTCTGTATCTGTGATTTAAATAAAATGATTGAGTTCTACGTTGCAAAAGAATTGTGATAAGCTTAGAATAAAAGTCGAAACTTTCCGAAGATACTCTATCAAGAAAAGGATATTATAATAATTATATATTATCCTAAAGAGTCGGATTAACATAAAACTAAAAATAGTTTGAATCGTTACTGTAATTTGTTATTTAGAAATATTATGAGCTTCTGTATTTGGTTTTTTAATCCCAATAAGGAACCAAACTTACAAAAACGAATCAATTGGAAGTGTCTGATATGATTGAGTAAATTTCAATTATTACGTCACCGTCGACATTTTGCTGATTGTCATGGTTACGAAAATAAGAGCAAGGAAGTCGTGAGGTGTTGCGGTGAGGAGCATTTAGCGTAATATTGTTGTGTTGAATTGCAAATAAACAAAAAAAACACAGCGTATTAGAATTTTGGAGTTGGCGAATTTCAATTCGTTCATTCCTAGAGCAAAATGAGCACGGATAACTCATCAGTAGGCTGTAGATGTAGGCACTATGCAGATTAAGATAATTATTCTAGTATGCCGGTAGCGTGCGTGCCTGAGAGAATATGTCATTAGAAATCATTGCATATGCCGGTGTGTCGCCATTCGTATGAGCATATTTATAATACGAATGCTTTTTGGCCAACTGTGTGTTACCTTTTAATTATATTCATTTTCCAGATTTAATGCGTTTGTGCAGACTGCGGACATTCAGAGCTGGGGAAAACACACCGTTTGTGTCTCACTCACTGTGAATATGCTTACAACAAACATTTATAAGTATACCTTAACGTTAGTCTGTTGAATAAATCGTAAATCAAGCAGTTGCTTCGACAACAGACAAGCGAAAACATTATTTACCGAAACAACCCCGCACCGTTTCTGCGTATGTTGTCGTTGATAATGTCTTGCGCTGGCCCAACTTTTCAAACACGGGCAAGTTTATGTAGGTGATTAAGCCTATATCTATTTGATTTGTTTTATTGGACACGTTTAGTGGCCATAACGATCGTTTCAAAATTTTGTTGTTATTGGACACGTAGTGGACATAGCGATCGTTTCAATATTATGTTGTTGTTGTTGTTGTTCTTGTTCTTTGACACATTTTTAAAAAGTCGCTTCTCTCTTTGATTTCTGGACCAATTGCTTTGATATTTTCAGTGGTTAAAGATAAAATTTTTCTCCAGAAAGCTATTACTTTTTTATTTCGCTATGACGTCATCAAAATTATTGCCACTGGGTGGAGCTACGTGTCCATATATTTGAGCATAGCTCTCTTGTTCTGTATACCGATATATTTGTAATTCATATAAATGTAAAAGAATGTACTTGGATATTTATAGAAATAGCGCGACAAGATGGTACTTAGGTAATTCTATGGTACGTAAGTGATAAAATGTATACCTTCTATTGATATCGAACATTGGACGGAGATATCTGTATTGTGTTCACAGTCGACATCTCCCCAAGATGCATGTTCACAATCTTCCAAAGTTTCTTCAAATCCGGTACAATAAATTCTATACGAAAGCCATATTTTTCCCGAACCTTCTCCAAAATATGCGTTTTCCAACGATTTTCCATTGGACATCCCGAGCATTCTACAAATGACGTTGGCATTATCAGAGTCCCAAGATCGAGAACCAGTACATATTGTTCCCCAAACATTATCATGATATATCTCAACCCGTCCTTCTTGAGAAGTACTACCATCAATCAGTCTCACTAAAAACAACATATGATGTATTCAATAAAAATACCATCTTCGTGAGTATACAGTATTTCAACCTCTTCTTTTCTGGTAAATAAAACTCACCCGTGGGAATAATATAATATATATAGCCTTTTGTTGCTAATCAGCGATTAGACAACCAATATTGATTCATTTTAATTCTGGTTGCTTCGATATAGAAAACACAAAGTATCCGTGACAATCAATTTATTCTTTATACATATGCCGCCTACTGACCTGTAGGAAGACAACATACTGAAGCATCTTCAGCATGGGTACAATGATGTGATCCCCAAGAAGGGTGATTACAATTTTCCAGCCTTTGTTCATCCCCAGAGCAAGAGACGCTACTCAGCCATATTTGACCAACCCCTTCTCCATAATAAGCTTGAACAGGAGCAGACTTTGCTTCCGGAAATCCCATCATTTTACACACAACTTCCGCGTCTTTTATATCCCAAGAATCATCGCATATTGTACCCCATACTTTTTCGTGGTATATTTCTACTCTTCCTTCATTAATTCCATTGCCATTTACTATACGAACTACAAAAGAACAAAATTTGTGATCAATCATAACATCGATGTACGTTGTACACAATCGAAACGGCGGATATACATCTAGACAATTTACCAAAATAACGTACGGGGGAATTTACTGATTTCAATCGGGGACATTACTGGTACAGCACACGCGAACTGACTCGTAGCGATAATTTGAGATTCGTTGTTCTCGTCAGATAAGTTTTTACACTGTGGATTGTAAGGTAGCTGCTGATAAGTATACCGCATGGATATTCTGCGGTCATCTCATCTCGTCCATTTCACACATGAAGGCCGTTTTTTTTTCGTTGTTATTATTATTAATTTTATTGTGCTAGCCTTGCTGAATAGCTGTTACAAAAAATTTCACTGTTACGAACAAGGTAATCGATGGTCGGCAGATGAAACTCACACTGAAGAGTTTTTTGATCACCTTCCATGTTTCTCATTAGCTCCACACTCGACGTAGGGTTGCCAACTTGGTGTTAAACCATTCCGGGATACCTTAAATTTCTAGAATTTGAAAATTTGAAACAGAAGCTCGTGAAACACGAAATTCATCAAAAGCCAAAAGTGCGCGCTGCCCGTCAAAAAGCCATGATCGTGCATCGTTATTTTCACAAACTCCAAGCCTCTAAACGAAAATATCGGTCGAAAGTTAGGGGATCCCCCAAAACAGCGCTCTTACTCCATAGTGACACCTTGTGTCCCATCACTAATTAATTAATAACTCGCTAATTATATTACATAATTCATCCAAAATCAATAGGCTTCTGGTACAACATATGATGAAAGAGCACATGCAAAATCTGGAGCCGGAACAATCTCGCTTTCGTGAGATATCGCGTGCATCTAACAGACAGACAGACAAATACCTATCAACATACTTACCGATTAAAATCAATAAGTAATAACTTTATCATAATCGAAGAAACTTGTGAAATGCTGAATCTTTGAGGAATAAATGAAAAAACACTAAAACAGGGAAATGAACAATTTGTGCTAAGTAGATTTAATTATTTAACAAAAACTCGAAAAATCAGCTTTCTGGTATTCAAATTTGTATTTTCTTGTGATTTTTCCGCAGAATATCTTTGTCTTTGCTGCTAAACTCATTGAATGACACAGAAAAGTTCAATTTTATCATCAGTTCAGCTTTGACGAGAAAAAAGTTTAGTTTGTTTCTACTGTAGGTCCGAAGCGCATTCATAATACCCTACTGAACACTCTTTCGCAATTCGCGTTCGACACTGGAATTGACAAGACAAATGACACAAGACGTACAGTTGTGTATAGTATGGTTGCAAAGTGGCAAAGAAATTCACCCATCTGTTGAAACGTCACCAGTTAAGCGTACAAGTTCACTGCGAACCTTTCTCACCGCACACAGTTCTTCATACAATTTATTGCAGTCGAGACGTATGCCCATATGTAATCGTCTTTATTTAAAAAAACAAGAGAGTTCAAACAAGGCTCAAATTTATGGACACGTAGAGCAATTACACGAAAATCATATGCGTTACCTCACCAGTACCTGTATCGGGGTACAAATAACGATATACGGACTGTCAACGTGAATTGAAATACAAAGTGATCCGAGTCACTTCTCTATTACCAGGGCAAAATATATATAAATTCCTCGATAATCTTATGATTTATCTCAAGAATTCGCAGTATCATAACGGACAGCTAGTCATCACGCGGACTAAAAACGTGTTCCCATGAATAAATATAATACCTCGAAATTTTGGATGAAATATTAGATCTCAATGAATTCATGCGAAATTTAGAAATAAATAAAAGTAATAGCCTTCTAGAAAAAAATTCCATCTTTAACCACTGAAAATTTCAAAGCAATTGGTCTAGTAATCGAAGAGAAAAGCGATTTTTTTAATAACGATAAAAATCTGTGTCAAAGAACAACAACAACATAATAACAAAAAGATCTATAGGTCCACTACGTGTCCAAAAATATTCGCGTTAATAACATCCGTTTCCATTATTGAACGAAGCCGACATGCTCACATGACCTTTTATTTTAGAACGACATGGTTGTCAGCAAACCCCGAGACAACCGTAGCCCAGAACACGGGACGCCAGACGTCAATTCCGGAACTGTCGCGGTCATTCCGGGACGGTTGGTACTTGGAAGTCCTAACTCGGCGGTGTATATATATAATATGTACGCACATTGATAGTGAAATACTGTTCATCGTCATCTACAAGCCGATCATTATAAAGCAACCGTAATAGCGTTGGAAATGCATATTTATTTCAATTGCAGATGACTTTCTGCAAAATATACAACAGACGCAACTTTGCTGTGATCGCAATAATTGGATCCCAAAATTCTATAAGTGCATTCATACAAGGTCGATCCATCCCTTATAGGTTACATGCATATAATCTGGACCAGGGGTGAGAAACTTCTCTAGTCGGCGGGCCAGATGTGGGAAAATGAAGTCCTCGGCGGGCCGAATTATTACATGAATAGTATTCAATATCTTAATCACATATTTATTCGCTAATGCAAGAAAGAAAATTATAAATCGCGTTTAAAAAATATTATGCTGCCTAACAAGTTTTCTGTCCAGTTTTGTTGCTCTAGTTTGCCGTTCCACTGCTGATAAATTATTGCCATAGTTTCCATGTTTCGTTACATATTGACGACTAATGTTGTACTCGTTTAATACCGCAACACTTTGACCACACAGTAAACATACTGCTTTGTTGCCAACCTTTGTAAAAATACTTCGGTATCCAATCTTTGTTAAATGCTCGACACTCTCTGTCGTCAACTTTACATTTTTTGGGATATTCCATGGTTAATAAAACTTAATATATATAAAATCTAATTTCTAAAATCTAATTATATTTAGAATCTAAATATAACAGAAGTGGGGAATGTTTACAACGCTCTCTGCTTTGACTTTATATTGCTTGTTTGACAAGTGTGTTAACGCAATGGACCTTTCCCCAAGCATCGACTTCCTTGTTTACTTCGTGACATTGGTCAATCAGCAAGGTGCAAAAAGTGACGTAACATTGCCCGCTTTTCGCATCCGCTCAGACACTATTCTCACTCAGACATATTTTCAGGCGTGGTCGTGAACATTAGCTTGTTTTTGAACTCTATTCGTCAGTTTTCAGTTGTGTTTTAGAAATTGAAATATAAATCAGACAATTCAATGATCACTCTGTCTTCTTATGAATATTTGTTTAATTGCAGTAATAAAAAAATAGTGTAGAAATAGCTGTTATAAACTGGGCTAAAATTCTTTATCGGTACTTTTAAAAAACAGATTGTTGTATGCGATGAATCATAATGATGGTTTGAAACACATACCCCAATTTTACGGCGCTAACTCGCGAAACCACTCTCAAAATGAGCCCCGAAAATTTTGCAATGGTAAAGTATTTAAAGAATTTTTCGGGAGTCAAAGGTCGGGGAAAGGTCCAATGTTTGTTCACTAAAGCAATTGCTTATTTCACCTGCTCCCTCTGACAGTGCGGTGAGATTAAAGCGATCGGCAACTTCCAGGAATGATGCGTCGGACCCCACATTACAAAGTGCGGATGGATACAGTCAGCGGGCCGTATGTTTCCCACCCTTGATCTGAACCATATTTTGTCTGTTGCTCAGTCTGCACCTGTTTGTGCTGATATTGCTTCAAGAATTCTACAAATACTTCTTGCCTCAGTTATATCTCACTTGTCACTACATATCCTTGCTACTCGACATTGACCAATGAAATGTGAACTTGAACATGCAAATTATTTCATATTGCTTTTAAAAAAATAAGTACATATAATATATATATATATAAATTATTATTCATCTTACCAGTAGAAATGCACTCAACGGAGGCATCATTTCCATGATTACATGAAGACCCAACGCTTCCCCAAGTATTGTGGCGGCAGTCTTCTAAAGTAGCTTCATACCCAGTGCATTGGACACCATAAAGCCAAATCTGTCCAGTACCTGGTCCGTAAAACGATGACGTGGGTGCTGATATAACATCAGGGAAGCCAAGCATTTTACAAACAACCTTTGCATCATTTATGTCCCAATAGTACTCATCGCATATTGTTCCCCATAAACCGTCATGAAATATTTCAACTCTTCCTTTGTGAGCTACGCCACTATCGACTAGCCGGACTGTGATGAGAAATTAATTCCATAAACATACACACAGTACGGATTAAAAAACGATTGGCCATGTTTTTGCATAACTTTTTTTGCAACGTTTCAGTAATAGTTTATGACAAAATATCCAAATTTAAAGAATTTGAGACATGATTATGTTGTATCTACTATGTAGAGTTCAATGAGTCCAAAACAGTATCCCAATCAAATATTTTCGCGTGAACTTTAGTTTGGTACAAAACTAGTTAATCTTCAGAAGACTTTAGATTTGAATAAAATCATATCAACATGTTTTTACATTTAATATCAAAATACACTCGTAAAAATAATGTATAAAATTTGTATCTCGAATATGTTGTGCCACGTGCTCATTCCAGTTATAACAAAATCGATTCATTCAAATAATCTATTCTGCCAGAGAATTATATTTATTCTAACCGAGAACATAGAATGAATCTCCCTTCATATTGCTTACTTCAACCAATATCTTTGAACTATATATATATATATATATCTACCCTAACACAGAACGGCACGTTACCGGAAATATTTTTAAGTCCTACCCAATTTATTCCAGTCCTATCTCCTTACAATTCAATACATATCGACTACTACGAACAAGCACAAAATAAACAAAGCAGGAAAGGAAATATGACAACAATATTGCGAATGACATCCAGGGGAGGTTGGACCTGTTTCGCTTCCAACGAGATGTAAGGGAAATGTTAACTATAAATGGATGCTGGGGTTGATGTAAACTGGTCGTCGACTTTTGCCTTATAAATTTGTGTTTACGAAGTTGCATTGTGTTACAAAGTCAGCGTAGCAGGAGAGGAAGTTTAGATCAGTGGTAGGATTCAAATTTTTTGTCAACCGGTTACATCACAAAAGGCATATATTTCAGCCGGTTGTGTTACAAAAAGTCATTAGCAGTAACCATTAATGCTAACCGGTTCGCTGATCTCATAAAATTCCGTGCGACGGTTCTATAGAACCGGTGCGAACCGGATGAATCCCACCACTGGTTCAGATGTGTGTGAAATTTGAGAGTGCAAAGGGTAACCTTATATTCTTTGATGTTTCATCAAGAAAGTTACGTGGACTCGCATAAATCACTAGAATAGTTTTTGTGATTAGACAGTGATTAGATCACTGGAGACTTACCGGTAGAAAAGCAGGCCGCAGACGCGTCCCATGTGTGGGAACAGCTATTTAAACTCCATCCACTATGTGGACAGTCTTCGATTCTCCTTTCATTGCCGCTGCAACCAACGTTATTTAGCCATATTTGATCAGTTCCAGGACCATAGAAAGCAAATGTTGGTGCAGATGTTACTCCGACAAAGCCTATCATTCTGCACACAACTTCTGCGTCATTTATACCCCATGAATTGCTGCAGATTGTTCCCCATTCCTCAGCGTGATATATCTCAACTCTCCCGACGTTGATCTCGTCTCCATCGAGAATAAGTCGAGCTAACAGAAAATGAAAATATATTTGGTAAATACATATATATTGACAATGATAGAAAAAGTTGGAAATTAGTTTATTAAAAATTTATCAATTTTAGTGTGCTTACATTTTACCTCATTTCTATACGTAGTGATAAAAATTTTGATTTGAATTTATTTGGTAAGATAATAGACGCCCGGTAAACTATCTTCGTTGTAATAAGTACGAGTTAATAATAAAATATTTCGAATTATTGGTCAGAAAATCGTCAGATCATTCACGATCAATACTTTTTGAATTTAGTAATTGTTCACCCTCTCATCAAGACATTAGACAACAATAGTGTGTTTCTCCTATACAAAAATAGAACGTGAAATATCGTATAATCTATCCACATGAGCAGTCTACTGACCTGTAGGAAGACAATGTACGGACGCGTCTTCAGCATGGGTGCAATGATGTGACCCCCAAGAACCGTGATTACAATTTTCCAATCTTTGTTCATTTCCTGAGCACGAGACGCTACTCAGCCATATTTGACTATCACCTTCCCCGTGGTAAGCTTCAACAGGAGCAGACGTTGCACCAGGAAATCCTAGCATTCTACACACAACTTCCGCATCGTTAATATCCCAGGAATCATCGCATATTGTGCCCCATATTCCTTCGTGATATATTTCCACCCTTCCTTCATTTATCTCATTTCCACCTACTATACGAACTATAAAATACCGCAACGTGAAACGTGTAACTATTTACACTATCGTGGTAAACAATGTTGAATGATGGACATAGGCTACATCCATAGTGGAGACACATGTTGGCCAGAACAATTTTGACAAAGCTATTGTAAGGTATAGACTCAAGTGAACCCCACGATCATTCTGCCCGTTCCGGGCTTTTATTCAGCGGTTCTCAGCCTTGAGCCTATGGCCTACGAAAAGGGCCACAGAATTGTTTGAAGGGAGCCACAAAACTAGGCGCTTCATAATGAAGTTAGGAAGAACTGGGAGTTTATTGTCAAAGAATAAGTAAAATCAGTTGTGCGCCTAGCATTGTGGCTCCCCTCAAACCACTCTGTGTCCCTCTTCGTGGTTCATTGCTGGGGAAGGATATTTCACAAGATGTTTTCACTTTATTGATCTTGAATTGGGAAAACATAATAGGATTTAGAGTCTACCAATCATAATAACAGTATAAATACCACTAGAATGATATAGAGGGGACGTGGGCAATAAAGGCAGATTTCAGAAAAAGTCCAAAGTTACACGTCATACAACATGGTATCATCGATATTTTGAAAGTAAATCATAGTATATTTTAGCATTATATAGATAGACGTTGAACTGAAAATAATAACTGAAATAATATACACTACGATCTTATATATAACTACGATCACAATTTGTAAATATCAGTAATTCGCAAACCTGTTGATAGACACTCTACAGCCGCGTCATCGTCATGTGAACAAAAATGTGATCCCCAACCATTATGTGCACATTGGTCTAATAACACTTCGTTCCCATCACAGTTGACGTTGTTTAACCAAATTTGACCCGTGCCCTCTCCATAATACGCTTTTTTTAGTGCAGATATAACTCCTGGGAACTCAAGGGCCCTACAAACAACTTTTGCATCTTCTATATCCCAACCGAAATCACATATTGTTCCCCATACACCCGCGTGAAATATTTCCACGCGCCCTTTGTTGAGTTGCCCGTCAGCTAAACGAACTATAAATAGAAATTGAATTATTAACTTGAAAATGAAATAGGAACTAACATTGGTGTGACGTCATACATCATTTTCACATGCGTCTAAACAAGCGTAAAAACATTTAGTTTATTGTACAGATTATTTACAGAACATTTAGACATAAAGTTGCAATCGTGTCAACGAAAATTATCTTCGAAAGGCAATTTCCTAGAGCTTCTGTATTATGGAATTTACTAATAACAGAGATGTTTTCCTGATCGCATTGACTTGTCCAAGTGTTGCTATAATGTCTGATATGTATATGTGATCAAACATTTGCTCAGTCAAAATCTGATACGATTTCATGTAGTGGCATCATATGAATCTCTATTACAAACACTTCTACGTTTAAATATTCATTAACATACCATTAGGTAAACATTTGACAGACGCATCTTCGTTGTGTCCACAGTGATGAACGCCCCACGAATTATGAGTACAATCCGACAACGACATTTCAGTTCCAGCGCAGTCAACCTCACTGAGCCATGTTGGACCAGTTCCTTCACCATAAAAAGCATATAAAGGCGCTGATATCACTCCAGGAAACTCCAGCATCCGACAAACAACTTCTGCGTCGTTTTCATCCCAACCATCATCACATATTGTTCCCCAAGTTCCTGAGTGATATATTTCTACTCTTCCTTCATGAGGTACATTTCCATCAGACAGTCGAACTGCATGTCGTTTTTTTTCATACGCATGAGTAAGTGAGGAAAGTGTGAGCGGGCTCAATTGTGTAATATTGTCAAGTTTAATTATATTGTATTTTATATGAATAGTCAATCGATCGTTTAACTATAAAATTCCCTATAATGAAGTACTCATAAATGATATCCACGTCGATTGTTGGTTAATTTACTTTTATATGAATATGTTATATAATGATAATCATTTAATTTTCATTTCTAAACTTTATTCAAATGTAGCTTACACAGAACTATGACTATATAATAGTTTTATATATTGAATATTACGGAAAATCGATTTTAAAAATTAAATCTATATACTATGGAAAGTATACATTTAATCAGTTACAAATGTTAATAATAAAATAAAAGTATATTTATAAATACAAGTAAATTGCATGTATTTATGCAAACATGTAAATGATTTCTATACCTTGACCCTCCAGATTCGAACAGCAACTGCCATATGATATATCGCGGCAGCACGTGTTGTAGTCGTCACAAACCGCTCCATAGCAATTAATGTCTGTAAGGAGATAAGCTATTACAGAAGGTATTAGGCTATTCAGCTTTTACTATCAATATATGGAAGAAAACTTTATATTTATTTTTAGTTTGCTCATTGCGGCGTCCGTGATTTGAAAATCATTCGACAGAAAACAAAAACATAAGTGCAGTTATTTTTCTTTTCATAACACGAAGTGAATATTTCTGCTAAAGTGTGAATATTGTTCATGTTGTCGACAACCAAAAACTGTTATCTTCAACTTACTAAATTTTCATATACTTCTATTGTAAACGCATATCTTCTCTGGGCTCACTTGGGTTAATTTCTACCTCGAATTTTATTCTTTTTTTTTTGTTTGAGTCAAATTTTCAGCTCAAACTTTTTCGAAATTTTAAAATTATAAAAACTTGCGTAAATAGTGACCTATCCATCGACAAAAAAAAATCACCATGACGTTTTTGACATTACGATAGTATCGGTATCGGTGATATCGGAACATCTCTAATTTTAAATTCTGAACAATTGGCACGGTTGGGTAATTTTTTAGATAACTTCCAATTTTCAGTTGTTCCCCAGCTTTCCATTTTAAAAGGGGTGTTCTGAAATTCAGGGGGTGGTAAATATTTTGCTATTAGCGATAAAACTATTTGTAGCTGAGCCTGTCCAAAATAGAATAGTTTTTGATTCGAATCAAATATGTTTTTCGAATCGAAACGAATAATCGAATATTATTTCGCAATCCTGAATATGTCTCTATTGCATAATAAAATCTCCCCTTTCGATGTTGTGATAATGTATGTGCAGTTACATCTGAATTACTGCTGATGTTTTGCATAATTATGTTTCCAGAGTTATAAAACCTTATAAAGTGTTGAAAGTTCAAAATTGAATCTCCATACCTTATTTACTCAATTCTAATGAATTCAATTTTAATAGGGCATGCAAAGCCTGTAGGTGCTATTCTAATCCTATAATCATTAATTTTAACTCTTGTGTTTTCTTGTGTAATTTTCAGCACAATGATAAACAGTCATTATTATAGATAAAACTGTTGCCCAAGAATTTTAAATCCCATTTAGGGAGGTCACGAATCAGAAACTAGTTCGATGACATTATTATTTGATGAACGTATTGTTACTGTGCAACAAGCATCAAAACTCAAGAGTGCAATTTTTTGTCCTGGTAATAGACGGATAATACATACAATAAGTATTGCTATCATAAGAAGATAAAAATTCCATTAAAAAGAGGTATTGCCATCACGATGACCCGCAATACGTGTTTTCAACTTTGAGTTACATGTATCTTTTTTCATGTTTTTATGATTACTCAATTGACTCAATGTCAACAGCTTCAGTTCGATTTTATTTATAGAACTAGCGATTTCTGCCGATACAGAATTGCCTTCTTCGCCTTGTGCACTCTCTCGGGAACTCATTTTAAATGTTATTACCGGTAATAACTTTTAAGTTATGAACATGCATGAAATGGCTAGTTAAATTTTATCCGGCGTTAGGAGAGACACCGCAACCGCAAAATGAAAGCGAGAGAAATATCGGGAAACCAGTGATGTAAAATGACGTGCAAATGTGGCGGTGGGGATTTTCCGCTCCATGTACCTCATTTGAGCGATTCGCAAATTAGACGCAAAACGATTCCAATAATTTGCGATTTGATTTCGAATATTCCTCCCTCACCCTCTCTAGGGGGGTGTAGGGAATCAATGATTCTCTTGCGCCTGTACATGTGGTGGTAGGAAAAGTGACCTCAACTAAAGTTTTTTTCACGTCTATGCCAACAAATTTAGTACCTGTGTTTCTACATTCCGAGAAATCGCAACAAGTGCCAGTTTTACAACAGTAGTATTCTCCTGGTCTGCCAAGAACTTGACAAGAATCAGAGGCCAAGCATCCGGGTTTGTAGTACACGCATTCCGGCGTTGCGAAAGAAATTTGACCTAGAAACGAAGGTTTTCGTTTTTTACTCTCATTTATAATTCAAGTATTTTTAAACTAAAAATTTCATACATATAATTTAAGATTGACGACCACAATATTGCTGAGTGAAAATACTCATGTAAAAGTTGACTCATTTAAATTTGCTCATTTTTCAAATAATCGAAAGGGACTGACAAGATAAATATTAAAATCAGATTTCATATTTATTAATATGATTAATTTACTCACACTTGACTGAATCTGTTACATATACCTGATCACAGCTATTGGTAATTATTTTTGTATTAATGAAACAAGATAAAACAAGAAGTAAGTTGAAAATTGTCTAATAATAATTTGGGCATTCCATCATAATTATGTAATCAATCAAAGGTTTTATTTTTTGTAAATCTTGACTTTGTTCTAAATACATCAAATTACGAGAGTACTACCTTCTAAAAAATCTAAGTAATCACGAGTTTCTTAAATAACACTTACTTAGATTCATGACTCCAGTTTGAAAAAAGATGAACGAATATATTAATATATAAACGTAATACGACGACATAATGATCTCCAGTAGCAATTATTTAATTCACAGTTTTAGATTTGGAGTACTTTCTGTTCAACTTCAATCGATAAACGTGAAAGATAACATGTGACTGCTCCATTCATAAACTCTATTTAAACAATTTTTATTTTAATAAGTAGGCTGCTGAAGCCATACCTCCACTGCCATAAATTAAGTACAATATATCTTAAAACTCTAAACATTATTTAATCAAATTTGAATCCTTTGTACATTACAGCTAAATCTTTGGTTCCTCTTTCAATAACCAATCCTAAAACACAGATGTACCGCCTACAAAATATAAAAACTAGACAAGCAATTAACAGCCTTCAGATTTTATTCCGCCAATCTTATACTGATAAGTCAACATGTCATTTAACCCATTCATTTTCTTATCTAAGAGCCACTAATATTTGTTTGTAACGATCTGGAGTCATCGATTTAAGAAAGCAAACAATGGACCGGTGTCAATTATATATCATCATTGGGAGAGTTTAGGAGGCAATAATTTCCTGACTTATAATGCCAATATTTGCATTTTCATCACATATTATAAATGCAATTCTATAGTTTTTGTTTATTATTAAGAAAAAGTTTAAATAATTCATTATTTTCATTCAATTTCATTTACAACTACTATTTGTTTATTATGGCTTGTAACGATATCCTGATCACGATTAAAGAAAATATCGAATCATATGCAATTTTGGAGACTATTAAAAAAAAGGCTTTGTGAAACTGAGATTTTCAACTGGCTTCTATGTTTCTTAATTTTCCACAACTTTAAATGTTTTCTAATTAGTATGGCAATATTCTCTGCGTCAGTTTCATCTCGGTAACGGCATTGTTATAAGACACAAAACTTGTATGATGTTGATATAATAAAATCGCATTGTTTTATTTTATATTATATGTAATGAACAAAAAGACCAATGCATATGTATGTATACAGTGTGTGTTTGCTCATTGTCTGAGACTTTGTGGTGAAGTCTAATGAATCATATTACAGAACATAACTGATCGCACAACAAAATTGTTGGCGTTTATTTGTTCTCGATAAAATTTATTTCCGCGAGGAGCAAGATAGGGCATGTTTTATTGAGGAGGAAGTATTCTGCTAATGTCAAACAAAATTCTTGTTTGTATTCTTATCTCTTATAATAGATGAAGCAACAATACCCAGCAAAAATACTTTAATCAATAGTGAACATACATATTAGAGGTGTTGAATATTGGGAACTTCTACCCCATATCCACCGACCGCAATCCGTATTTGAGATATAATTTAGTAATCTCAAATAGATGTCAAATAGAAATAAAAAATGTCAGACTTCTACCTTGTAAGCCATTTGGAGAAAAACTATTTTCTTCGATTGGGACAGATGACCGTAAATAATTGAGATAAGTCGGTTGATAAATAGCTCAAAACAAGTAAGAATCAGGGGCATTTGTTTTTAATAAATCCAGTGTACAGAGTTAAAAATTTAGTATCGGTACAACGTTATATTTTGCACCCTAACGCCGGAGGTTCACCGTAGCAACATGTTAATTTTATATGCATTGCGACGCCATATCAATGACGCCTATATTCATATAATTTGCGTAATAACTACCAATAGAGGTTACGCGAGACTAACACCCAATCCTTCTTCAATGCCTTTGCGCTAGTGGGTCCGTATTCCTATAATGCAAGGATACTGTAGCAGAAATAAAAATATTCATGAGTCCTGCTGCACACTAACACAAATGTATTTTTGTAACGTTTCATCTGAACAATGTCATTGTTGTAAACTGCTTGTCGTGGTCATTATTGTAAACTGTCTGAAAAAGTCTGAATTTGATCAAACTATAAACTTGATTCAAGTAGGACGGGGGAATATTGATCCCCTTATTGAAAATAACTATATTTTGAAAACCTTCCGTCGAGTACTCCTAAAACTTGGCCAGTACATACATATTGATCTTAACTCTTAAGCCACTCGGTGTCCTCTGTCGTTCGCCGACCGTCGGACTGATCAAAATGACATACGTCCTTCATGACACTTTCTAACATGTCAAAATACCCCGGAGCATCCGGTTTGTTCAAGTTTGCTCTTTTCGTGGACGGCGATTGAGGTTTACTTATTGTTATAATGTCAGGGTGCCAAGATCTGTACCCAGTCAACCAATCTTTTTCAGACATTCTCTGCAAAATTGTTCTTGATGCCATTGCGTACAACAAACCTGTAAGCCAGTTTTCGTATGCTATTGGCTGTTATCGGAAATGATCTTCTTTAAAATTCAAAAATAAGCCTAATAAGATTCTCTTCCGCATTCCTCAGAAATATAGAACTAGGCCGATATCTTTCGATGCCATTGCCTTCTTAACAGATCGAAACACATGCCGTTCTCCACATTTTGAACAGCTTGTACTCAGTGGTGGGATTCAAATTTTTGGTCAGCCGGTTCCATCAAAAAAATCCTATTCTTCAGCCGGTTCTGTTACAAAAAGTCATATTTTTTAGCAAGTAATCTGATTATTTTTAATTATTTCCTAATTACCATTTCAAAATAATGGTTAAGTAAGCATCATTATGTCAAAATTAGCCTCGAAATTTTTGATGATGTTGAGGATTGTTTATATTGCTGTATATTCCGGATCAATCCCATCACTGCTAACAGGCACACTAAGAAGCAGCAGCCGTCTCATGAATTGTACCCATGACGCAACAATTCAGTTTTCAGACAAACAATCAACGTGATAGAATGATAAAAGTTGACACAATGCATAACTGTCACGTGCGAACTTGATCATTTCACATTTTGAAAAAAAACGTGCGCTACTTGATGAAATTGAAAACCAATGTCGGGTAAAATTTTGCTGCCGTAAGCACACGGCATGTCGACTATAATGGCAGTGCTGCCCCTGATGGTGACAAATATTGGGTAAGTTCCTGCGTTGAAAATAAGCCAGAAAGTGCCACCAAGAAAAACGCGTCCAAACTAAATGCTTTTTTTTTACATTTCAAAAATACCAAAGCCACGTGGAATGCAGCACAACTGACGAAGCGCACCAAGCACCATGCCCACGAAATGGCTAAAACGAATATTATCTATAGCAACGCACTATGGTGTCGCCAACCGGCGGCTTTGAAGAAAAGTATCAATCTCTACCCGTATGCCGACTTCCCCCCTCTACTACAAAAGCAAGTATATTTCATTCTAACCAACCTCAAGAGCAAGAAAAATCATTTCACTTATGAACGAATCTGTACTAACTCATCTTCAAACCATTCTGAATCAGATCCTAGAGCCAAATATATAGCAAATATTGGTCTCTGTCTCGCCCATACATATATATAGGCCGACACCAGACACCAGACATCGATATATCGGTACATTTCTAGTACATAGCTAACCTAATACAGTGGGTCATTAGGTGATGCGCTTAGAAAGGCCAACATCATATGCCACATGCATAAACAGACGACTCATATACATACAGCGCCAACGCCATATGCACATACAGCTAATGCCATATGCATATATAGCCAACAAATATGCATAGAAATAAAAAAAATATGATTTGTTCAATGATCAATATGATGAAATTCAAACGCTTTGGTGCCTATAAGACGCGCTTTTGATCTACACAGTTTTTTAAGAGTCTGGCGCCCATTACAATGCGTTTTAAACAATGCTATCCAGAGCGAGTAGAGCGAATGCGTTTAACATAGTTTCTGGACATTTTCTCACGCAATGCAGAAGTACTATCACGAGGTATTGATTTTTCAAAACTCTGTAATGATCAAACTAATCCGATTCAACAAAAAAGTGAGTAAATTACGATAATTTACATCTTAAATTTGTTTTTGAAATAAATAAAATTTGAAATATATACAATGAAGAAAATCAAAATTCAAAAGGCAGAGAGTGAATGCCATTTGGCGTTCAACGCAAGGCAAAGACTATGCAGAAACAACACTGCAGAAAACGAAATTTCTTTCGTGATTCGATTCAAAAGTTTTGTCATAAGAAACTTCATTTTGGTTATATACACGCAAGTGTAAAAATCAGCTTGAACACAGATAGTTTCTGGGTTCGTGGTCCATTTCGGACGTGCGGCGTGGCACGCTGCTCGTCGTTCGTAGTTTGAACGATAACTTTGTCGGGAACAAATTGTAAAGACAGGATTAAAATTTAGAAACAATTACGCGTCGCGTTGGTTTACATTATACATGTCCAATCGTTAGTTGTTTGACTGTTTCCGTTTCCAACGGCGACTTGTGCCGCAACAGCTTGAGCTTTTTCATCCACTAGAGGAGATTGACAACCACTCGCAGCAGCTGCAGAAGCATAAAAAGGACCAGGTTGTTGACCCTGTCATAATGGAAAAAGATTTGGACGCATAAAGATATTGAACTGAAAAACCAAAAACCCGGAAACTGTATAATTGGCCAAAAACAAATCTCAAACATTTGAACTAACTCGTACTTTTCAACAAAAGCCATTTAGTATTCTGATAACCAACGTCATTGGGTGTCGCATAATTAAGTAGACTAGTTAATTCAGGTAATCTGGATAGGCGGAATTCTATCTTTGTCACTTCCACGCATCCTTAAATATACTCGCAGCACATAAAAGCTCAAATCATGCATGATCAACTTACATTGTATCCTTTAAATAACGTTAAGATGTCAGACATTCCGGGGTTGTACGTTACACCTTGCATTCTAACTTGAATACCTAATGGATGAGCAGGTTGAGGTATAGCAAACTGATGAGGATATCCTGGTGAAGCAGCTAACGTATGAACTGTTGCAGCAGATCCTGGGATGGATGGCGATACCGGTGGTGTGGGAAGGTAAGCGGCATAAGGTAAGAGAGTAGGCTGAAAAAATTGATACAAACAAACACGATTAGAGCGTCTACCGTTGACATAATGTAGAATAAAATTCTTTGAAAAACTTTGGAAAAAAATAATGCAATATGCAATCACCTGTGATGTGATAAAAAAATTTATGTTACTTGATTTTTTGCACAATTTAATGATTATTTTAATCCACTTGTAGGCGTATTATGAATTTGGATAACAAATATAGGTAGTAATTTTTCATTCTGAACAACTGGAAATTTAATAAAGAGGGCTAAAGTAGTTGAACTGTCGATTTTTGTACCAGGAACATCAACTATTTGGCAAATCTATTCATAGCTCTTTCAATATTCAATAAAGAAAGTTACCTGGGCAAGTATGTGCCGCCCTGCCATGGCAGGCAGCAGTTGAGCTTGTGGATGTAGCATTTCAATTGGAATCTGTGATGGCTGAACCATTAGCGTCTGAGCACCAGGAAGGCCGAATGGAGACGGAATAGGTGGTGTTACTGGCGGTCGCTGGACTGATATTTGATCCGGTACAACTAAACCTACAAAATTCAACAATCACGTTTATTTTGTTGCAAGTTTGTTATTTTATGGTATGGTGCAAGAAAAGAATGAAATTTATATTTTATTTTAGGATTTATGAGGACATGTCAAAAATAGTTGAAAAGTACCAACTATTAAGTCTATTTGACTATATTGGAGAGCAAATGCAAACTAATATATTAAACTGTCTAACAGTTTCCTCTGTCGACACCCCCGGGGCACATATTATTTATAGCGAAACTAACAATTCGTGAGCGGAGATAGCTCGGACTGTGTTACACTGTCACAAGTAGAGCATAATGCACTTAATGTAAACTTTTTGGTCGCCACCGATCGCATTTTTATATAAATATATTAAAATGTTTCCAAATATACGGCACCGTTTAGTAGACTAGTCTCACACAATACGTTTGTACTATTTCATTCAACAACAGTAAAATTATCCAGAGGAAATATAAAATGGCCGCGGGCTACTATTTCATAAAGTTTCGGAAGTTCTTACTCATTCCAGGAGGTGGCTGTACTCCATTTCTGTTGAGAGTGCCACCCATAAGAACCATATTCATCTCATCACCAGAACATTGAAACACTTCAACGTAACGCTCCCTCATGTGCTTTTTATGGCAGCCTCCTTTACTAATGTCAAGGGCGGCTAAAGCGGCATTTTCTGGGGTCGTCATTTGAATAAATGCATCTCCAGAAGGTCGTCCCTGCACGATAAAAACAGGCGTTTGCTGTTGAATTTTTGAAATCCAGTACGTCCGCACCAACTTCACAGGTCGTCCGCACCAATTTCACCCAGATCACCATTCACCAAATAATAATAATTTCATCCAAATCTTTTATCAAATCAGGTTCACAAATGGTTAAATTGCTCTTTACGTTATTTAGAAAAATAAAATCGAAACAAATCTTCATAAAAGTCAAATTTTTCTCAAACGGTATCACAAATCCTACCTGCTGATTGAGCACCATATGAATACCGTTGGGAAGAATTCCGAGACTGAGATCACCAAGAAATTGCATGATATCTTCGACAGTGGCCGAATATGGCATTCCGCGCAATCTAAATAGCAGAATGCAAACCCACACCAAGATTGTTAGCAAGCGTGCATGAAAATGAGAAGAGACAAATGGTATAAATTGTTGTTTTGGTTTTAACACCATTAAAATGAAACGATGTGTTGGCATAACTCTATCTCTCTCAAGATATGCAGTCTGATTTAGCGCCCAACTCAGAAATTGTAAACGTGTCACCAAGGACCCACGAAGAAAAACACGAAATAAAACAGGAATTAAGAAAACGACAGTTTATCATAAACCATATATGAATACACATTTTTATAACTCAAAAATGATGGTAGATTATATGTTAAATAGACACCAAACAACACCAATGAGCACCATGGCTGTGAATAAATAAAATCCCCACAATAATCTTATATCTCATATGTAGGTTGTGAATTCACCATAAATCTCATGTAAAATCACGAGCTTCACGCCAGAATGTGCAAGGATAAAAGATCAGATGCTAATTTGACAAAACACCCTTATTGACGTGATCAACAGATAAGATATAAATTGGATTTGTTTATTACACGCAAAACCAACCAAGGTCAACGGTGAAAATCAGATTTGTTCTAGCAAAGGCTATTACCAACCAACCACCCCAGTATAGATCATGGTTTATTTGTTTCCACTTGTTAAAGGTTAACTCATGTCATCTTACCTGATGCAGTTACGAATCGATCCCGGTGGAGTGACCACTTGGGCCTGGGCTTGCAATTGAGCCTGTTGGAGTTGGGCCAATTGAGCCTGATGCTGCTGAACAGCGGCATGGGTTACTGGGGAGCCGGGAAATCCCATTGGAACGTGATGCATAGGTGATGCCATTGGTGGAGGCGACAAAATAGGTGTTAACATATGCTGACTTAAAACCTGCGTACAGAATATATAAAAAAAATAATATTTAAACTTCTAGCTTTTAATATACTGGAACTTGACTCAATAGCACCCATGTCTAACAGTGTATCTCAAACCAAATGAATTTTGGTCCCAATATTTATTTATACTCGATCTCTTCAATCTTATATTTTAATGAAGCTAAATTTCTACAATAACGTATAGAGACATTCAGATTACTTCAGAAATATAGAATAACTCGTCTAAATCCTGACATTAGTTTGAAGCGATTTGATATTTTTATTACTCTGTATCGAAGGAGTTTGAAAAGTGACGAGGAATTGTACTTCACGAGGTGAGTATTGAAATCTAAACTAAAGTTTACCTAACTGAAAAGGAACTCCAGTTTATTACAGTTGCGTATTAGGCTGATATTCCAGAATATCTCCACGTCCACAAAACTGCGTAATATTATTAGCACAACCCTTTTTTTCTCTAGCTAATTAGCCCTAAGGCGTGCGAGTCGCGATTCAGGTTTGCCAGTGCTACCTTAAACACCGTCACTGTCTTTTTGACGCGATTACATTTGGCCGGAGGGCACGATGTACGCGCTGATTATTGGTAATTGAGAATCGCAATGAACCTGACCGTTGTTGACAGCCAGTAAACCATTCTTTAATGAACTGTTATCATTTGCGATTCATGATAAAATCAATTAACTATTTTAAGTATTATCAATTAGTTCGATAATAAATTAATCGTGCATTGTAATGATCGGGTGTGCTGGAAAAGTAATATAATAAATACATTTCAATTCATATTCGAATTGGATATGATAACTATCATGTTTATGAAGAAATGGACAATTATTAGGAGCTTGTGGGTTCAAAGCACATGCCTAACTTTTATTCGTATCGTGTATCTTTGCGTTTAAAGCATCCAAGCTAAAGGTAATTTGTATGGTTACGTAATAAATAACTAGGTCTGCAACCGATAACATTTCAATAAATGATTCAATGCATGTCCGAAAGTGCGCATCCCCATTTTAATAAAAAAAAAATTGACTCTCAAATTGGCGCCTTAATCTATAAGGACTAAAACCGAAACGTGATTCATTCGTTGTAGGCTTATTTCAAGATCGTAAACAAGGTCAGGTTTATACTTTACTCGTATCTAACTCACCTGTTGCACTTCGGCAGCCGTACTTTTAAAAATTTCGATATATCTTTTGCCTAATGTTTGCTTGTGTTTTCCAAGTGCAAGATGAGCAATCTGAAAAGAAAAGAGAATTTTTTCCAATATTCTATTTAAGGCATGATAAGTCGCTACGCTTACGCTTAAACTAAGTACTAAATCTGCGGTTAGAATTAAGTTAGAAAAAAATTGGCCTCTGTCGTTGAGTTCGTGATTTTTTATGAAGTAAGTGGTTGTGTAAATTGTATGCATGCTGTCAATTTATTCAAGGCTTCCACAAAATAAAACATCTTCTTAAGTTAAAATCTACCGTAAACAAATTTCTATCGATACATAATACATAAATGTACTAGTACTCTTCCAAGATGGCTATCAATACAAATAGATGGTCTTTGTTTTATCATTGAGCACTTTTGTTTTCTCGGAGAAATTCATGCAATATACAAAAGAGCTATGCTCAAATATATGGACACGTAGCGCCACATGATTTTGATGACGTCATAGCAAAAAATAAAAGTAATAGCCTTCTAGAAAAAAATTCCATCTTCAACCACTGGAAATTTCAAAGCAATTGGTCCAGTAATCAACGAGAATAGCGATTTCTTCAAAACGTGACAATGAACAAGAACAACAAAACGATCGTTATGTCCACTACGTGTCCAAAAAGCATTCAAAATGCAAGAATATCTAACCTCTTCTGTGTCAAACAACACAAATGCATCTCCACTGGACTTGCCGTCAGGAAATCTGACTATTAGTACGCCGTTCTCATCCCCTGCCACGGGAATTTCCGGACCGAAAAAATTGACCTGAAAATAATTATTCTTTTGAGCTAAATAAAAAAAATTCTATATCAACATGAAGTGTAGGAACTTACTATTCAATTATGGAACCAGGAGCCAGGTTTATTGTCATTTTAATAAAGTTCTTGGAATGAAGATTTTAGATTTCTTGAATTAACTTAAAATCGTACCAATCACAACGGATGTTTGCATACCTCAGGAAAAAGACTAGATTTATAAAAATAAAAAAAGCTAAGCATAACTTTTAAAAAACTTACTATATCATGGGCCACTGCCGTGAAAGGCAGGCCTCTTACTCGAACTATAGCATCACTGCCTTTAGATAGGAACTGCACAGCCTCTCTTGAATTGCATGTCGCCACTTTGAAAAATTCATCCTCTTTAGCTCGATACACCTGATAGTGTAGACGTGTTTTAAATGTGTACAAAACAAGACCATTACGTTATTAGAAAACGCATCCAACTTTTGGTACAATTAATAGACATATATTAAAAAGAATATAAAATAAAGAATGAATTTTGAATGCCACCAATGTAAGAGTTACTAAAATTTAGCGGTGTACACCAATGTAGTATAAACATTATGTTGGTCGTTTGCTACTTTGGATTTTTCTTGATTCTAATATATAAAACATAGGCTACATAGAATCTTACTCAAAATCAGATATGCAGGATTTCACCGTACCATAGAATACATAGGTATAATGTTCATTTTATGTTCATAATACATCTACCATCATTTCAACTTTACCACAAATGCTCACCTCGATGTAACGATTCGCCATGTGGTGCTTGTGTCTGAGAAGAGCCAAACTTCTGTGTTCTGGGCTACAAAATTGTACAAGAGCTTCCCCGTTTCTGCGACCTTGTGGATTTAGTACTAACGCCACGCCACCCCTGTCGTACGAAGCCATGACAGTGTAACCACAGACGCCGCAGAAATTTGGCCGATGTCAGAGAAGCAAACGAAGGCGAAGAAATAAAAGAAAACAAAAAATATCACCAAAACCCCATGACACCAGTGTAATGAAGATACGTGTTGGAGACCACCACACCGAAGAAACCAAGCATTATGCGGGAACATGCATGAAGAAGCACCATCGATGTCCAAAACGTATTTGACATTTCAGCATAGAGAAGAACACCAGTCCGTGTGTAGATAAATCACCATAAGTAAAAGAATTTGAAAGAAAATGACATTAGTGAGAAGTTTCACCTTATGAAATCGGATATAATCCACACGGAGCGCAATATGGAAAATCGTTCAGTTATTTCATTAAACAAAGCATGGAAAAGGCCAAATAATAAGTAATGAAGAAATAACTATTTTCACTTCATTTACTTTTCCATCGATACCTGTTCCTGATTTGGACGATAGTTGAAAATAAGGGAAAGAGAAAAGGTTTGAAATAAAAAAAAAACATACCTTCTATTGTTGTTTTGTTTGTGTGGACAAAATTTATTACTAAGTAACACTCAAATAACGATTTCTAGTATTACAAAAAATTGAATTATTCGAAAAGAACTGAATTAGCAATGAAAGTTACGCATAAACCTCATTTTCTTTCATAATAGAACATAATATATTTTCTAAAACACGAGCAAGCTTTCTTGCTGTATCCCTAATGCATTAATATTTCCAATTAATGTAGAGTTGGTCTGCAAATGATACGATTCTTTGCAGTTAGATAAGACGATGCATTTAAAAGATGTCGACAATTTCCTTGCCTATCATTTCCTACTAGTTATACGTGTTTCTTTAGTCGAAGAAAATCGAACAATTACATTTACTAGGAATTATCTCACGATAGCAATATTATCCAGAAAGATAATACTAGGGCCAGGTCATTAGAATAACGTATTCAAACAATGGGTTAATTCAACTAGGATCACAAATATGTTGAATTGCATAAAATATTAACCCTTGTTACGCCGACGGTGCCCTGCGTATATTGAATAATTTAGAATTTGTTGGACTTAAGTTAAATAAGGACCCATATATTCTGTTTTAGTAGAACTGCATTTAGTGAAACACGGGGGTATTATATTAACAATAACATATGTTTTGTACGTAATGGGTTAATATTGCGTTCTCGTATTGCGATGAAATAATACTCGGAATTAGTCACAATATGCTATAACGTATATCCTACGACAAGAACGGCTTCCTGATTTGGAATTCATCTACAATCGAGCACGGCGAGGTGTGTGATGACGTTTCAGCGTTATCGCTTAGTTACACGTAATCTATTATCACAATCACACAGATTTTCAATCGGTATGTTCATCGTATCACGGCACCAAAAGATTGTCACAATCTGTACATATTAGAGTTTAAAAAATATACAACATAAGGAACTATAATTAGGTCGTTAAACGCTATCCAATTTCAGACTATTATACACTGGCGTAAATATTTCCTAGCTTGCTAGGATTGGAGTTTTTGGGATTTATTGTAACAAGAATGCGAACCATGGTGAAAAAATCTGAATTTTTCCATTTAGAGTTAGTCGCAATAAATACTGCAGATCAAGATCAGCGCGAGAACAATCACTAACTCAAGAGATGGAACCTATACCCTAGCTAGACTAGAGTTAGGTGAACTATGTAGAATAAGGCGCCGCTTATGGAACGCGTATACACCAACATATACATCAAATGAATGAAAATCAAGAATCATTGGTATTTAAAACTAACATGTACATGAGATCATCGTTATCTCAATATAAATAGTACAATGCATTACCTACCTTTGAATATTAAGTCCTTTAAAAAATTTGGCTATGTCATGATCTGAAGCTTGCCAGGGTAACCCACGCGCCCTCACAACGCATTCTTCCTGTGCTCCATAAGATCCAACGCTGTTAACGAGAAAACAGTTTAGTCTACTGCATAATTTTGCCGTTGAAGGCAGAAATCCATTGCATTATCACAGTCATTCTGATTCATTCCTACCGTTAGCAACACACTTTAACAAATTACCAGACGAATGCAGTTGGCAATCGTTGGAAAAGGCTGGTGCTTCGGCTGTTATAAATTAAAACGACTTCCTTTCGCCGGGAATTTAACAAGCCTAACCACGATACGGTGCCTTCGTTAATTGCGTTAGGTATTTTAAAATTCAAAATTAGGAATACAGATCAAATCGCGTACATTTTAAAGCTAGGAGATAAATGTTTCCTTTCAATACTCAGGGATAACATTGGATTTTCAATCTTATAAAATCAATCAACATTGGTCTGTGGTTGTAACGGCACCTAGTACACACAATATGAACAAATATATTACCAGGGCCCTGTATCCAATCTTGCTAATATCGTCTCCGGGCAAGTAAACCGATGATCTGTAAAAATATAAGAAACTTGTATTGAGAAGAATACATCCAGTTTCAGCGATATATATTAGATGAATATTCTGGACACTCCTGTCCTGAATATAGCAGGTAACAGTGAAAATGCTTACTATGTTTTTCACATATCATAACTTGTACAACAGTGCTCATCCTCATCACGTGATCAACGCCCAAAGTACCGTACGTGTTAGGAACTGTGATATTGAGGTCTTGAATAGCGTAGCAGTCAAGGAATAAATGAGAAATAAAACAAAAATATAAATACGAGTTCAGTATGTTAGTGAGCTCGGCAAAATGAACAAATTATTTAAAAAAAACTCGTCTGCTTGAAGATTTAATCTACTTTTAGTCTACCATAAGGAATTTTGAAAAGCAGAGATGTGCGCGGAATAACAACCGGGCACGGCTTGAACACGTGAAAGCAAGCCCGGAGATCTAGAATGATTTAGTCGCAAGAATGGATCAAAATTGTAATAATCCAATCAATTTAGACAAGAGATCGATGCTCAAATATATGGGCACGAAATCTAAAACGTACCGCAAACTGCACGACTAACGCAAACGTAACCGACACAAGATGCGCAATTTTTGATGACGCAACCGCACATGAAAAATGAATCCCATAGCGCGCACAGAAATTTTAAAAAATAAATAAAAAGATTCTAACGATAAATACAAATATTAACCAATGAAAATTTTAAAGCGATTGGCCCAGTAGTTAATGAGAAAGAAAAGAAGACTATTTTCACAACAAGAAGAAAAATGAAAAGGAATGTTAACAAAACGATCCATAGGTCCATTTCGTGTCCAATATTATGTATCAGATTTCACAGCCCGCAGCGTCGGATTCATACTCCGAACTGCCTCAGGCTGACCCCAAAAAACGCATGGTTATGGTAGCATGATTGTAAATTGACTAGATACGCGTGGCACAGTTTGTCTATAATTAACGATAAAATGCTAATTTTAGTGCCCAAGACGTCAGGTCCGCTATTGTATTTTATGTATATTATACTGAAAACAATAGAGATTACCCAAAGCAGACATCGTCTAGACCTCGGGAACTAACGTATGGCGTATAAGGTATATTTATATCTAGATAAGTCTTCTATTTGACGTAGTTTCGTTTGTATAATTTGGCATCCCTGTTTTGTTTGACTCCATGAGGTATGAGAAGCAGCACCTGTCCTCCGGGCTCTGAACGAGCGTCAAGCGTCTCATTTAACAAGCCGATTCGTAGCAAGACAAACACGGGCTGTGTGTACATTGTCAAAGCATCAGCAATGAGCATTTCATTTTTGTAATAGTATATCTAAGTTAACAAATATCAGGTTTTATGACCAAGCACGGCCGTTGATAATTCTCTACCTAATCAGGACATTGTTTTTATTTCAAGCTTGGCAAAGCTTTTATTTCAAAATGTACAAATACAGCGCACTTGTTGCAAAAATGACACTGGAGCAAGTCTGTACAAACAAATGAACAACATTTAAAAATACAAGCATACACTCGAGGTCGCTAAGAGTGATCGCGTTGCATGTAAAGCCCGGCCGTGCCTTCTAGATAGGTATTTGGAATACTTATATTTATAGTTTTATTATAGTTTTTTCTATTATTTTGCAAAAAGGATACATTCCAACATTTGTTCTACTGAAACGGTCGACTGTCGAGAATAGCCATCCATTTCATCAGTTTCTATTATATTTGCATTGTGATCGGTCGTGGTACCAGGAAAACAATTGCGAAATTCTTTTCGAAGATCAAAAAAACTGAAAACGGATTCAATTGTTTTTATCATAACTCAAGACAAGAAGTTTGCAAGTAAGAAAACACACACAGAGGAAATATATATATATATATATAAACACATGGACAAATAAAATTTGAGCCGCTCAAAAGGCTTCTTAAATATTGTCGCGTCGATAAAAAACGTGCAATAAATCATGATTATTTAAATAATTAAACACTTGTCCCTAACAGAACACCAGTGCTACCCGGCGTTACACGGACTTGAGTTGAGTTGCATGTCACCTTATACCAGGAAATACCCATTTAACTAAATATGCATCAAAAAGATGCTTTCTTTGACTAGATAAAATGAGAAGAAATTGAACAATTCTGTAAATTTTCAGGTATATCAATAATATTTAGTTAATTACCTGTGGAAAAATTCTGGCAGAGCAATATCTTGTCGCATTGCTGTCGGATGCAGGACCTGTCTCAGGTGACATTGTCCATCAGTACACAAGAAAAATTTGCACGTTCGACCTTTGCTATTCAATTCATTGCGTAAAGTTTGTTCAAACTAGAAATAAATTTAAAAAGTATTATAGTTTTATAACGAAACGAAATTTTTATAAGTTTGCCCAGAACTTTGCGCGCGGTTTAGATCATTGCCTAAACCTAAATTTTAAATTAATCATGTCCTACGTTTTACTCCTACAATAAAATAATACTAGACTGACTGAATAATGAGATTTCGAAAAAATAACCTGCTGTATTGCCTCTCCGAATGAAATTGCTGATTGTAATGTTTCTTCTGAAATTCCGGTTTCTTTTATCCACTCTTCTGAGAGATGAATGTTGGATGAAGGTCGAATGTAAATGTAGTGAATATCCCCTGTCTGAAAAAATGAGGCAAGACGTAAGTCGTAACGGATACAAGCATTTGATATTCATTGTGTTTGATAATATTGAAACGTACTAAGAAAGTGGATAACCGGGAAAATCCTTATTTGAAACGTCCGCAAGCCGAGTAAATTTGCTTAAAACTAGGGCAACATAAATGCATCTTGCAAATTCCACCGAACATAAAGAGATTATTTTTAGTATCTATGATTTTATGTTTCCCTTATATCGGTCGCGTAATTTTGCGCTCTTGAAACCTAATGTTTCAACTTTTTATTGTCAAAATTTTGTCACATAATTATCCACGAGGTTCCAAATATTTTATTAGATTTACACAAATAATAACAGTGCATGGAGGATATTTTATGAAAACGGCAAGCAAAATTCAATCAAACTAAGCATCGAACCAGACACTTATTTAATATTCAACTAAATAAGATTGGTTTGGGCCCAACACGCCATTTTCGTGTTCTGGTGGTGGTCTGATGGACAAGTAAAAATCATAACGAAGTGGCCCTGCCCCATGTATCACGTTGCCACTTATGGGAATTATGCTCGAATTCCAATCTAATCACTCACTTGGTTTTCCACAAGATCCAGTAACTGCCAGACAATTATAATAATATCACTTTCATCACTCCCGAGTAATTCTGGATCATTGTTTCCTAGAGTGCCACAAAATAATAGTACAAGATAGTCACAGGAATGAGGTACTCCCATTCCCATCTTCACGTTTTGCGCTGATCAACTCTTCTCGCGACAACGCTATCTCAAATTTGGATACGATATCCAACGACGTCCATTTATATAATCTACATAGACTGATAAGGGTGAAATATGTTAAAATATTCAACGTTAAATAGTCATTTTAGATTTTTTTGTCTGTATATATAATATAAACATGGTGCTACCATGCACTTAATAGCCCTTGTTATAACACTCGAAAATTGTTATAGAATCGTTCGACATTGGAGTACTAAATAACCTCATGTTGAGTGCCTGTCAACCTATCCTTTGTGCCATGCCTGATTGTTGATAAATACCTCATATGCACTACCCAAACATAGATAAATACTCAACCACCATTAAAACGAGTTTACTTATTGCCATAGTTGAACACTATAAATTCAAACCTATGCTCATATCAACTTTGAAAACAGAGAATGCATCAAGCTAGCAGACCCACGTACCGTAAATTATGCGCAAAATGCGATCGCTCGCCGGGGTGAACCGAATAAGACGACAGTTCGTTGGTTGAAATAAGTAATTATTACAATTCTGGGTTGTAATTATGAGCGAAAAATGCACCACCTCCATTGATTGGTTCCAAACCGTCTGATTGAGTTAACTCCGACTTCATATTGGCGGCTTTTTCAAACAAAGTTGTAAAGTATTTCATATTAATAGCAGATTGAGACAGGTCGTAAATGCTACGAAACTATTATGTACTGGACAGGGTTCCATTATATTTGAACCCACAACCATTGCACCTGCATACTATTGCAACTATGGAAATTTTTTTGTTTTACGAATATTTGAACTCATACTAACCCTAACCCATGGGTTTTAGCACCCGCATATAGATTGAACCCGCGGATATACACATGGGTTCAAATGTACGTGGGTTCAAATGTACTGGACAGATGTGCAGGCAGATTCCCCAATATTCCAAAAAGGTAATTGAGGGAATAATTCTACATAAAAACGCCGAGATAAGTCAGTTTTGCTTGCTTCGATAAACGAATACGTTACACAGGGGCGGCTTTTGCCACTTTGGGGCCCTGAGCACTGAAGACTTTGGTGCCCCCTTATGTGTAATTAAAATTATAAAAACTATAAATTACAAAATAATAACAACCAACAGTAAAAAAAAAATTGTACGAACACTTTTAGGTTTTTTAAATGTTATATATATCGACAAACACGCAATGTCGGGCCAATATATCGGTTGAGCTCTAATCCTGAGGGATGGCGACAATGGAGATTCATGCGTCCAGTCTCAACGTAAATCGAAACACCAAAGGTCACAACTGTAGTTTGAAATTTTACCGCTACCTAATAGTCTACCTCAGGGTGGTTTAAGGTTGCTAGATTGAAGGACCGCAAAAAGCTTTTGAGGAGGTCTCGCGGGCCGCAAGTCGGAGAAAACCTAAAAGTGAGCAAAATATCGCGAGATTACATATATACTTTAAATTTGATAAACAACAAGAGTTTACCGTTCTAATCAGACTATTAATATGTTGCATGGGTGGCCTTCTTTTAAAGAAGATATATAAAGCTTTCAGGTATTTTAAAATTAATTCCCGAGAATTACCGTTGTATTTTCCGCATCTCGCTTCAAATTATATTCTTTCGTGACAGATATTACTTGAAAGCAAACCGAACACTGCGTGGTGGGCAAGGAAATACATTTCCTTGGTGTCTCCAAAATGTCGTGTCCCCAGACACCGGTGTCTCCAAAATGTGACAGATATTACTTGAAAGCAAACCGAACACTGCGTGGTGGGCAAGGAAATACATTTCCTACGGTGTCTCCAAAATGTCGTGTCCCCAGACACCGGTGTCTCCAAAATGTCGTGTTCCACGTGTTCCGGAGAAGTGGGAAAAAAAAAAAAAAAAAAAAGGGATACGTGGTACAAGAGTGCTAAAAATATACTGTTGCCAACCTCAGTTGGAATAGCTAAAAAACTCAAAAACGTTCTGCAATCAGGTACAAATTTACGCTAAAATTGTTCTGTGTGCCGCACGCAATGTTTCAGCATGACGGCTTTGGACCACCCTGGTCTACCTTATCAAAAAACTCCCGACTTTGCTGACCACTAGAACGTTGAAATGCGATTGCGGAACCGTCACATAGTGCAAATAGTTCGTTGATCCAATAGTTGAAGAGAAAAAAAAAAATTTAAAACAAAAATGTAGCAACAAGGAGAATACTAGGAAGAGAAGACAACAACAATTTAAAACGACTCATAGACCCATTTCGTGTCCAATAAATAAGCTTCAGTGTTTATTATCAATAGAGAAAATCAATATTATACTTGAAGACGAAAAAAAACGAACATTTTGAACTTCAAGTCGTCTGGTGAACTCACTATATAAAATTCTGCTATAAAATTTCCGTGGTGCCCCTCTTTGCTCGGTGCCCTAAGCACGTGCTTATATTGTTTAATGGTTAATCTGGCGCAGAATACGTAAAATAACTTAAGACTCGTTGAGAACTCCTTAATCAAACTATCGTCAAGTAATTAAGTTTATTTCGATTAGGCTACTCTGTCTTCCTATAATAATTACAAAAGCACATACACCAATGACGTCTATGGATGCAAGAGAAAAAATTCCATGGAGACTAGAAAATTTATATCTCATGACTATACTTAAATCCTGCAACGCTCAAATCAAAATGAAAAACACAAAAATATCTGTCATATCTTCCAACCATGGTGAATGCCAAATCAACTGCTGGGTAGAGGTTTCAAACAAAATTGGTTCGGACGGAACACATTATTTATCATGTTGAACAATCTAAAAAATTATGAATTTATTTATCTTCAAGAAAGGACATTGTTGAATTTTCCTCCAAATTAATGCAGTACTTACCGACAATAACAGTAATTCGGAAATTTCACCAGAATAGTCCCTGGTCACCCGGCGCTGAAAGGATATATCAGAAAGAAACGGAAATCACCTGAGGGAAATCCTGCAGTTACCGCGAAATAGCTGCATATACGATTAAGTCATTTCACAAACAAAAATCCAATAGATTAGGGCCAGTCTTCAGAATTCATCGTGATTTTCCAGGCAACTCCACGTTGTGAATTTTCGTCCCACTTATCAGCTTTTTTGGTCATCCTGAAAATGTCTTGCTGTTCGGTGAAAACTATAGAATAGGCCGTGTAGAAGATTGGTGATTTTGACCAAAATTTAGAGAAGAAAAGTGAAGAAAAAAAATTCAGAAGAACGGTAAAGTAGATCCATCCTTACAACGAATATCACATGAAACTACAGAACTAGTTGTTTCCACTCTTCGACTTTCAACAGGCGAAGCATCAACGAACGGCTTCCGACGAACATCAAGAGAATTATGTTGCCCTTACAAAAGATAACATGAAATATAATTGCAATCACAAGAATAGTGAAGTTTTTAAAAGGTTAATTGAGATTTCGTGGGGCGCCATATTTTTGCTTGAGGACTTGGTGCTGACATTGTCGGTAGCATAGGTCGTACCAGCAATATCTAAATCATCTGTCAATCGTTCATTACTTATCGATCTTGATCGGTAAGTATGTTGATAGGTATTTGTCTGTTAGACACTTTCGTATGTTACGCGATATCTCACGGAAGCGAGGTCGAATCTGCTCCAAATTTTGCATGTACATTCATCTTATCTCGGACCAGGAGTCTATTGATTTTGGATGAATTATGTCGTATAATTAGCGAGTTATTGATTAATAAGTGATGGGACATACGACGTCGCTGTGTAGTAAGAGCGGATGAATCGAAACCGCAGTTTCTGCTTTGGGGGATCTCCTAACTTTCGATATTCTCTTTGAACACCTATTCCTTGAACGGGCCCCCCGACAAAATGGAAACGATCTTTCGCCCGTTCGAAAAACATCAATATCTAAAAGCGTGATAGCAGCATCCACACTGGAGCTGTGGAGTCCGGGGAAATCCCTCCTTTAATCGCCTGTTGAGAATGCTTAGCCAACTTTTAATTCTTTTCGACTCTTTATCTAAAATTCAAACTTCGGACATAGCCATCAAATATCTGAACTCCCACGAACTGAATAAACTCCAGAGAGTTCCAAAATAGACTACATCTACGATAACAATTAGCGCATTGTGAACCATAATCCAGATAGAGTAATGTCATAAGCCTGAAGACGCTAGTTGCTATTCATCTACCACTGCACTGCGTACACTTTCAAACCAGTCTCTGGCAAGCACATAGATCACAAAATTCTAAAATTTCGCAAGAGTCATGTCATGCGGGTCATGTCCATGCTTCCGAAAAAAAATGGCTGACTAATCCCATATCCAACATAGACTGGTAGCCGGCAAGAGGATGTGGTTTGCAATGTGATTGGGCAGTCTTATCGGCTTTTCTCTTCCCCTGGATAAATAAATCCTATCCTATATAAATTTGCTGCCCCATACTACCTCATCCAATCAAATCTGAAACTAGACACTGATAACACAAAACAGAAAGACCAAAAATAATCGGGCTCGAAATAGATCACTCGTTTCAGAACAAAAACGACAAAAAAGCGGAGTATCATCGATGAAAAATAAATAAATAGCACAAAACAACATAGTAGTAGAAGACATATAGAATCATGATAAAACGCTGCCGATATACAAATTTTAAAATCACCAGTGAAATTAATCCAAACAACCTTCTGTTCTACAGATTACTTCAGATATCTATCCATAGAAAAGAAACATTTTACCTGTCAACAAACAGGCCTTTCATGGATTAAATTAGTCTCGTATAGAGTGAAATCGGGATAGCAATGAGAGCAATTTTTATTTCAATAATTGAGCAAAAAAAAAACGAAAAATGTGCTAAAACTGGAGTGAATAAAACTAAAAAATAGCTGATAGTGTGAAGCGTTGTATTAGGAGAAAAAGATATATTATGTGGTATAATTGAAATAAACTAAGAGCCCCAGCCAACTTTACAGAGCAAATCAGAAGAAAAAACAATCATTTTTGATACATCAAAATATGGAATTAATATAAAGAAGAGAATAGTAAATCAATCACCAACAACAAAAAAGCAAAATCCGGGATCTACGGGAAAATAAAATAAAAACCAAAACAAAAGTGCACTTTTACATAAATTGGATGTGAAGTCAAAACAGATTTTAATGGCAGAATTGAAAGTTTTTAGCAAAATAAAATTCTAATCACGCAGATTGGCAAATGAAAGTGAATTTCCGGGTAATATCGGTCCGGAATGAACATCGTTCTAGATTGAATCTAATTAAATCCGTATAACATACCAAGAGCAGTAGAATTGACAGCCCGAACAATAACTATTGCAAGCGACAACTCTAGAGTTAATTGATAATATTACATGTATATTACATTGATATTTATACAGTAAAAGACAAGCCATTCTGAGAGGCGAAGATGGTAATCCTATGTCACTGTCCATGTTGAAGGACAAACATGTGTGTTTACGTTTCAATGTCAGTTCAAGTAGGTTTACCTGAAAGTAATCAGTAAATCCAGCACATATATTGATTTAATAAGCGCGTTTTTCCAGATGAAATACCGAGTTATTGCTCTTTAAAAATCATACAATCAGTTGCATCTGACATAATCATCCGCCAGCAAAAATCTTCAACAATGCTTTTAAAAGGCCAGTTTGCAGAATTCATTTTAAAATTAATGTGGACATATCATTCCCATGTCTGGGTTTAGGTCATCGCAATCCGCTAGTTAAGCTGAGCCCGTTTTAATTTTTTTACTCTTCATACTAGTATTGTTCTTATGAATAATGCTGATAAAAACATGCATTAATCATTTAAATAGTGTATGTTATGACCAATTGATCACAGGCCCACGAGAAGAAAATCTGCAAATTATTCAATTAAAAACGGAAAATTTTTGGATAAAATAAAAAAAAAATCGACAGATTACACTAACGACCCGTGGATAGACGATAATACTTGAATAAATTGTATTGAGACCACAAAAAAGAAAAGAAAAATGAGGCCTGTGGCCGCTTTGCTTTACTAATTCAAGTTCTAATAAAGAATAAGCTACTGTAGTATACAAATATATGAGAAAGACGACCATGCAAAAAGAAAACAAAATGAGAAAATGGTGGTTTACATACAAACACACTCAAATGGTATAACTGATGACCGCATATTTTTAATTATTAAAAATTATTCCTGAAGCGTTAGCAATATTGGTCATCAACTCAAGTGAAGGAAATCCAACAAATCGGGGTCAAGTCGGTTCAGATGACACACCCACCGTAAAAAGTTTTTATCATTTAAACAACATTGCAAGAAAATCGGACCCTGTATTCTTTTTTCTGTTGTTGCCAAAAACAAAGTAATGTAAAACAAATTGGCCTAAAATAAACAAAAAGAATCAAATTTGAGTGTAAATATTTTATACAAGATTAAAATCATGAGCAAGCGAGCCGTCGAACAAGATATGGAAAGAAAAAAAAATTGTAGTCGAGGTTGAAAAATCTACGGTATTGTAATTTTAAATTCTAAATTTTTGTTGTTGATAGTATTTTTGATTTGAGTGAAAACAATCAGATCTTCTGGACTTTTTCACCAACAACTACAGGGTTTTCTTTTCGGATTTTGGCTTGAGCGTCAGCCCGGTAGTCGTAATCGCAATTATGTTGGTCGGAGTAACGATGGATTCCACAGAAGATTTTGCCGCATCTGCAGTTGAAACCTTAAATGGTAGGATAATATTGTATGAGAAAACCGAGTAGAAAAGGTAAAAACAATAAAATCAAATTTGAATGCCCAATAAAATTCGTTTTGATATATACACAAGGATTTAAGAATTGTGAATCCAACAAGCACAAGTCACAACTGTCCATTTCAAAGCAAAACTAACACCAGTGTCAAATTTTACATACAAAAGAAATGGGCAAATTTTTTCTTCTAAACTTATCTGTTCGAGAAAGAAGTTTTTAGAATGTTTATGGTATCAGGAAGTGTAACTTTTTTTAGGAAATTTGCTCTGAGCAAGGCCACGCATATTCACTTAGAAATGCTATATAAAGATTATTTTTATCTGAGTGTCAGATGCGAACTGTTGAATATGACTATTAACCATTCTTGAAATCGAGATATTACATTATATAACTTAATCCATTTTACTATGTACAGGGTCAGGGTGACTCATGAAAAAGAACCCATAGATTTCCTAATAAATGGAGAAATATATTAACACTTTTGTTTATGTATCTTCTGTTTATGTATGATTGGACCCAAAAGTTTTAGTAATCTAGGACGCTTAGCACAGGGGTTATGTTCTTTCTAGAATACGTTCAAAATGACAGAGTATTCAAATTATTTTAAACTTATCCAAATATGAAAACAACTAAACCATACCTGTCAAGCCGACCCTTTTTCTACATGTAGCACACCGACTCTTTTTTGGCTTCGACGGTGACTCATCGGATCCTGGCGTCCCTGGGCAGGAAACTGGGGAGGAGGAAATGCCTTCAGCTTTTATCAAAGGTGAATCAACATCTGAGGAATTATCCGAGGTTGGTGGCATCAGTGAAACACTTGTTGTAGCAACTTGCGTTGTATCAGTTGATGAAGCCCCAGGGGTGCTATAATTAATGAATAAATTTGAAGTTACTTAATTAAAGATGAGGGTGTTATAATTAATGAATAAATTTAGAATCAATTAATTAATTAAAGATGGTATTACATTTTTCTCTAGAAAACTATTAGAAAATTTAGAGTTGTTATTCTTGAATGGTTTAATAGAATTTGGTGTATAAGCGTAAAACATTGAAATACATCGAATAAAAGATTTGAGATAACAGAAATTGTAACTTTTATCGTTACAGTTGAGGCTCCCGGAGTCTATAGGCCTGATTACATGTCCATCGAAATCAGTTCAGCAAGCCGGTTCGTTTCGGAAAAGTCACAGTAGTCTCGGAGAACACTTAGCGCCCTCGATTACATGTCCAAACCAACAGGATGAGAACAGTGTTAGTGTTTTAAGACTAAAGCAAATAAGTCATGATTTGCAAACATTGCATATATTTTATTTTCAATAAATTCATAAATTCAAATCAAATGCTAATTAAAGTACGGTAACAAAATTAAATGCACGTTCTTGATTGAAGTTCTTTGAAGTTATTTGCAGAATATGATGAGGGGTTACTTTCCCGTTGTAATTTGCCTATAATCTAAGAATGAAAGGACAAATTATTCGGGGGCATAAAAGATAGACAAGTTAGATCATTTTGGCCGACCATTCAGCGTTCAACGTTGCAGAGTACTGGCACCTTACGCCACACGATCCATTCAAAAAATTACGGTAGGCCTACAGTTACCAGTAGTCTACTGGCAACCAAATTAAAACAGTTACATTTTATAAACCAAACACTTTATGTGAAGTGGGCTCATCATATGTAAACAGAAGCACTTCCATCATTTAATATCGCCCTACTACTGCGACGTTACCGACACTGAAGTTTGAATTTGTGCTGGTAAGCTTATGTACAGTATAGATACGGTACAGGCAGACCGGTGCCAGCTAGGATGAGGTATGGCTGTATGGTGAAATTCCAAAAAAAATTCTCAATGCAAACAGAAGTTTATCAACAGAAGGCGTATTGCGCTCAGTTTATACCAATAAATCTTTGGACATTGAGATTAAATTCTCTGTTTCAAAACAACAACCTATCGTGTCAATACGCCGCCCCGAGATCCCACCAGTACCGGTATTTCAAATTTGTGTTTAACAGCAACACAATAGATGCGAAAGAGGTTTATTAAATAAACTTGCACTATATCTAGCTAAATTTTTATTTGTTGAAAAAAGCAACTCACTTACCAGAGATGAAAAAGAAAACAACTTCTGTACCCATTCGATCACGGTAATTCACGATTTCTTGAGTACCACGACGAAGCAACTGAGCAAGAGCGGTGCAGCTCACTTCCAGACCTACTATATGGGAGGTCTGGTGTTCTGGACCGATACCGCGGATTTGAATCGCAGGCGAACCACTGAAGCGTGAATATGTGGTCTGCTAGACCGGTTCCAGCGGACATGTAATCAGGCCTTATGTTTCTCATGTTTTTACTGAAGCCAGGGTCATATTTTCGAACTCCCATAATCGAGAGCTGAGATTTCCGTGGAGTCAGGATTTCAGACTTGCGATGGTGTTAAACAAATCAGAACTTTCCGAAGACACTCGAAAATCATGTACTCTACAAAGATGGCTTGCAAAGATTTTTGTTATCAAAATTTGTTTTCTCGGTGTTCAAAGCTGAAATGAGAGTCAAAATTTTTTACTAACCAAAGCCGAGAGTCGAGTTTAAAACTTTTGTAACCCAGAGTCGAAACCAAAATTATTTTGACCAGACTCCATGAAAAAGCGACAGCAATACTTTACTGGGAAGATTATAAAATAGATAGGCACCTGTCAATAATTTCATACCAGCCCACAGATAAATATTCAAAGTTATATTACACGATAAACAACAAGCATAGCAGTAAATTTTGTTGATAAATATATTACCTGCAATGACTTGAATAGGAATCACTAGTTGCAAGAGAAGCCATTGCGTTTGAAACAGATCCTTCTGAGTGTCTGAAAAAAATAATTATTCGATGAAAAAAATTTATACATTTTATGCAGGACAAACGCAGGACGAAAATAATAAATATTGCTGCAATTTTAATTGTTTTGCGAATAATATTATGATTATTATATCTACATCAATAATAAGTGAAACAATCACAATATGGCAAATCAAGATTTTTCTACAGTAAAGGTGAATTTGAGTAGGACAATACCTTCTATTAGGCTATCCATATTCTTAAAATAGAGTTTCATGAAAAATTATCAAATTTAATGAATATACTATCTGAGAATAAAAAAATACAGTGTGGAGAGAAACAAGACAAGACAAACGGTGCAACTCAACATAAACTCAAACTTTCCCTCTTGCTAAATGATGATTCACAAAACAAAGAAATAAACTAGTCCGCCTTAGCAAACAGCATTAGCCTAAACAATATTGTTTAGAAAAATTATATAGGGGTGCAGTGTCCTAGTTAGAGTGTTAGACATATCTATGATGACGACCAGATAAAAATCTTGGTTCAAATCCCTGCAACTCACTCAAGATGTAACAAATTGAGTAGAAAATGCTGAACCAAAAAAATTTGGTCCTTTCTAATTATTGTAGCATAATCTTACTTCTCTCACAAATTGTTATAAGACCCTATTGGATGCAGCTGTGAAAATTTATCAGTTTTTTTTTCGCATACCCTATAAGCATTTGCAATTCATACATGATATACAAGAGTATGTCTACTATCAAGCAAGATTTATAGATGATTTTTGTTTAGAGAAAAGAATGAAAAACTTCCTGAATCACAACCGTTATTGTGAAACTCAAAATAAAAAAATCAAGGAAGTCGACAATCATTGGAAACAGGAGTGTGGCAACACAACATCAGGTCCTACTGAAAGAGACTATTTATTTCATAGCCTACATAATACATTGCCTCTTAATAATTCTAGATCATCAAGATATACGGTAATAGAAATACAGTAAGTTGATTTACAAACAGAGATGCCAGAGTCAGCTTCTACTTATTAAACAGGTGAAATTCACATATGAAACTGTAACTCCAAAAAATATATGGAATTTTGAAACTATTGCTATCGTTTCAACCTGAACGCTAGTTGATTGATTGAATAAAATTATTTTTCCGCATGTACAATAATAGAATTTTTATAATAACAGAAACTAACTACCGAAACGTGTTAATCTTGCCACAGCTGAGATTGAACTTGATTGTGCTTTTCAATAGAATAAAATCTTATTTACTGAAATTTGCACTTGATATAACATTTCAATATCTTATTGAAATGACTAACATCAGTGATATGATTCGATATTGATATTTTCAATGAAATATGACGCAATACATATTGATCATAATCAGATGTCAGCATGAAAGTTATAAGAACTCATATATGCCAATAATTCCCTACACAAAGGACAAAACATTTAACAAATGAATTCATATATCATATTAAGATATTATAACCTTACGAATTCTTTTTTTTCAAAGTGTTCAGACTGTAATTATACTTGGTTTTTATTGTTTGAAATTTGATAGAATAGAATAAACTAATTCAATAACTTATTTCATTTTAATAAAAAAGCAATATCAGACTCCATACTTTTGTTAATAAAAGTAAAACCTCCACACTGCAATAAATCTTTTATGAAATAGTCCTAAACACTAGGAGGGAGGACATACCATAAGATTTTTTTTATTCAAATTACAACTGAAAAGAAACAATATGGGAGGTTATTAAATTGATATAATAATAAGCATATTACTTCAGAAGTTTAGTTCCAAAACTAAATTTTTTTCAAGGTTTGTTCAATTGAAAATCAGTTTTTTTTTCAAATCTAAACTCAATTGTATTTAATTATATACCGGTATATCCCCCACTTATTATAGTTGTAACTTGTAACCTTGATCAACATGAAAATAACTGAGTAATAGTTGAAAGATAGCCCATTATAATCTTATATGAAAAATATACCTGAGATATTAATCTTGTTATGTGATATATCGTAACAGTTGGCTCTGGGAATTTATTAACAATCATGTGGAACTGTTGCCTAATTCTATAATGTAATTATGCCTTCCAATAATAAAACAAGTCAGTACAGTCCACTAATGAACAAAGAAACGTATCAATTGATTACTGTAGGTCTGTATGTAATTAGTTACATGCTTTGTTGCCAATTGATAGTGTAACATGACTTGTACGTTACTGAAAGGAAAATTGGAAAATGGTTCTGTATTTTATGGCTAGGCTTATGCTAGTACAAATTTAAAATTTTGTTAAATATTTACATTTGTCACCAATATTAATATGAATATATAGTGCCACAACAAGATATAGCCAAAACCGAATATTTCACTATTCCGAATACATTGGAAGAAAATATTTTGGAAAATGGAATATCGAATACATTCTAAATTGGGGGCAAGTTCATGAGGAAAATTACATAAATCACTACGGTATCTTCATGTTGATCATATTATCTAAAAACGACACAAACATAAAGATCAATACCATTGGTTTCTCTGTGTTGTTTGTTACGAGTTGAGATATTGTATGTTTTGATCTGCTTGTCAGATGGCTTAAAATTCTTGATTTTTGAACAAAAATGGGCGCTCCAGAAGTATGTGTACCAATATGGAGGTAACTAATTTTGTTCACCTACTGCAGGGGTGGGCAACCCCTGGCAAGCGTGCCGAACTTGGCACGCAAGCCCATTTATTCGGCACGCGAGTGAGGCTTCAGAAACCAAATCGTTTTTTTTTTCTTCAAGAAAAAAAGTTTCAAGACTCTGAATTATCTGTTGAAACTCTGCGTACATTTAATCATTATTGTTTGTTAGCAATCCCTTGGTTATTTAAACTCTTTTTGTTTTTTTCATGACATATGGCTTTAAATAAATATATTATGACGTCACAACTGAGTGAGCTCTCGACAATTTTGGTCGGCATGCGGAAGAATTTTTTCATTAAATTTAGTCGATTTTGGCACGCGAGCCGGAAAAGGTTGCCCACACCTGGCCTACTGAAACCTATAGGCAGGGGCGATATTCACTTGGCTAAAAAAGACAGTCTCCGAACTAAAATAAGGAAACAAATTATGGCCTAACCCTAACCTGATACACATATTATGGGAGTACCCAAAAATGTTCTAAATTCTCCTTAAATTCAAAGATATACTTCGTCGAATATCGAATATAATATATTTTAAATGTACTCAAATATTCGATTCGTTTTGGACATCCCTTCCTAATAACTTCAAATACTTGGATGAAAAAATTATTCTAAATATTCTTGTCTTAAAGCTTAATTCTATTTCGACATTAATTTCAGACTTTATTAACAATCAGAAACTACTGTATATTCACGAGTATGATACCTCATCTATTCTGATTTGCCGACAAGGTAAAACCGAGATCTCAAACTGGCAGAAAATAACAGGTGCTAATTTTCCGATGGAAATAACAATAACACTGAGTGTTCCTTTAACAATGCATAAAACCTATTCATCAAATAATAGCACAGCTGTCTCGCTAATCAGAAAAAATTATTATACATCCACAATTGACAAATATACATAGATGAATTTGAAAATATTCAAATATATTTGAATACCGAAAACTTATCTATTTTGTTTATCAAATCCAAAATATAAATAATTTGTGCACATTAGTCAAAATTTCTAATTCTCCGAACATGATGCATTCACTCACTATAAAATACATCATTCTTTCGTAGTTTTGAAGAACCATATTTCTCCTTGCATAATACACATATACATTTTAGCAAACGTCTTCCACTTTTACATATATTATCACTTTTATTTCAGTGTTTTTTTTCGACGCTAGAGTTGAAGAATTGTTTAGGACTCATGCTACCTTCATTAACACTAAATCTTTATTATTGGACTGGGCATGCCTTTAACAAAACAAGCATGATCTGATTCTAACAGACTTTGCAAAATGAAATTAAAAGACTTGATTATAAGAGAATTATTAGCCAGTTACGCATTAATATTTTTTTGATATTTTCTATGTCAATACATAATAAACCCACATTTCATTTGACCTTCATTTGACAAAATTTGACCTCAAAAGTGTGTATTATACATGAAGAATAATGTCAGTGTCAGTTTGAACTTCCATTTGTATTCTCAATATGAAATGAATATTGCAAAAATAGGTAAGCAAACTTACTTATTTGATGGTGAAATATCGTTCTTTACAGATGAAACAATAGAATGCGCTGAAAACAAAATCAATTTTTTCTTTAAAAAAACGATAGCTGAACAAATAAGTATTTTCCAAGTAGGCTACATAGGACTAATGAGTTAATAACAGAACTCTCATGTATCTAGGGCCATATCTAGATTATGCAGTTATTCATAAAAATTCGTTTTAAAATTTCAATATCGATATATTATTATTGATACAGTGAATTCCACATTTAGTATGGACCTTACTTTTCACATTTAATAAAACCAATATAATATTTACATAGGATTGTTGGAGTTATACAACAATATCAAAGACAGAAGATTTGTCGCCATAAATAACTATAGATGTATTGTTTATATTACAACAACAAGATAAATGTGGTAGAGGAGTAAATTTATTAGTCTGAAATTTCGTAATCTCGGCCATGTATTGTATAAAATTCAAACAAAAATTTGAATGATTGGGAGAACGATGATATTGTTAGGAAAAAAGTATTATTTTTAATATGGGAGCATTTATCATATTTATATATATATATATCATTAATTAAAAAAAACATGAAAAACTTCAAGCAATCAAAAACTATAGTTTTGTGCAACTGTTATAAAATACTCATCAAGAGTAAGCATTGTCTCATAAGCTGTGTAAAATAGAATATAATGTTGATCAACTTTTTCTACTTACCAGATGGTGATTTTCTTCCTGAGTTACTTTTCTCTTGTACATTTTCTTTATAACATTTTGAGCACATGCCTTCAGTTTGTGCACTTCCATAAAAACCACATCCATTCCGGCAGAGTTGCGATGATGCAGATTGACTCGGCTCCTCCATGGCAACTTAAAATTTTAAAGAGAGGGTAAAATTGACTTATTTTGCCAGAAAATCAAGTACAAGTATATATAATATATATATATATAAAAAGGAGGAAATATTTATAATACAGGGTATAACGAAAGAATGAAACTTTTGTGCAAAGCATCCTAGATTCCTAAAACTTTTGGGGACAGTTACACACAAACAAAAATGCAAGTGTTAAATAAATTATCTAGAAGAAATTAAGACATTTATGGGTTCTGTTTTTGAGGATCACTCTGTATGTTTGAAGTGCACTAATAAAAACAAATTTAATTTTTTTTCCCAGAACAAAATATAGAGAATTTAAAATTAAAAGTATTTAATATAGCCTAGTTTCAAATTATATCATCATGGATTCCAAAAACAAAATTTTAATAAGGTGATTATCATTCGTATTAAACTATTCTCTCCCAGGTGGGAGATATTAAATACAAATAAAATCAGTTTGTCTATAACTTCGGTTATATAGAAAATGTTGCATACACAGCTAATTCAATTTGAATTATTGTGGATCTTGGATAAATGTATTAATCAAGAAAGTTGAACTCAATATGGCCAACATATTTAGAATATTAATATATTGTCAGGGTTGTCCAAAACGAATCGAATATTCGAATGTATTCGAATATCAAAGTATTCGAATACTCTTTTCGGCTGATTTTCGAATAATTCCGAATAGTAGCCACTTTTCGCCGTAAACGTGGTGTTTCCTTTTAACGAGAATCTTCAGACGACTTTTTACGCTGTCTCACGTATTGTAATGACGATGAAATAGAATCGGCACTTTGATTGTTTATATTCCGTGCGACCGTACCGACACGTTTGCGTGGGTGGACATTGCCGACATTCGTGTACGTGGCTTTTAATTTACAAATTCATTTCCATTACGTCGAAAAATTGAGAAAGTATGTTTATTTTATTTCTATGTGGCCTGCTTATTATTCGCATGAGTCTTCTCAAGCATGATTTGTGTAACCTTATTTGGGTCTTAGGGTCTGCCAATCATGATATTTAATCGCAGGCTGGTTATCGTTACTTTAAAGAGAAACACGGCCACCGAGATAAAGTGATTTGTGACCCTTTCGTTTTGCCGATTCAGCAGAACACGACAGGGATAGGAAAACACAGCCGTGAAATAACCCGTGGACGTACAGTGTAGTACTTATCACATTCCAAAATTATTTCGACATTCGGGTTAATAGGTTGTCTAAAATGATTGCTGCTTTACAACTTAAATTTACCGCTCATTTGTTAGAAATAGTTAATTCTGTGAGTATGATTCTACCAAACTAACATGATCTGGTTCTAAACATATAAAAATAAAAAGCGCATATCAGCATTACTGAACAACAGGGACACAATTTTTCAACCCGTCTCATGTGAGGCCTATATGGAAAAAACCCTTTTTTGAGTGCTAAAAATAGGCATCGTCCTATTTGCCATGTGGACTTATTAGCGGGGAAATTCGGTATTTATAGCCGTCATTCTTACGATATCCAATAAATTGTCACAAGTTGGAAAAACAAGTCGATTTATCAGAAAATAATTTCTGGCAAATAATTCTGATAACGATAGTTGAAAGTATCGATCCTTTACCAGGATGATTTTTTGTTGCGCAAAATAATCCAATCCATGACTGGTACCAGCATTTAAAATGTCATGCCGTATTAATTTAATTCTGTTCAACGTAACTCAACGTACTCGACAATCTGTGGACATAAAATGTGTGGTAAACTGACCGATATTATTAAATATTGATTCCTATTTTTATATTGATAAAATAATGAAAGTATTAATACCAAATTCAACGGGTATTTGTGGACATGAAATACGTGGTAAACTGCCCAATTATAATTAATTTCGGATTCGTATTTACAAAATAATAAAACTATTATAATTCTAAAATGCAACGGCGATCTGTGGCCTTAAAATGTGTGGTAAACTGCCCGATTTACCAACATTTGAGTTATGATAATAGAATTAAAAAGCACAGTAAGGCATTTTAAGTAGTGGATCCGTCATGGATTCGGATATTTTGCGCAGCACAAAATCATCCTAGTAAAAAGTCCATACTTATAAATACAAACCAATGGCAACCATTATCAACGTAACGTAACTCAACGTACTCGACAATCTGTGGACATAAAATGTGTGGTAAACTGACCGATATTATTAAATATTGATTCCTATTTTTATATTGATAAAATAATGAAAGTATTAATACCAAATTCAACGGGTATTTGTGGACATGAAATACGTGGTAAACTGCCCAATTATAATTAATTTCGGATTCGTATTTACAAAATAATAAAACTATCATAATTCTAAAATGCAACGGCGATCTGTGGCCTTAAAATGTGTGGTAAACTGCCGATTTACCAACATTTGAGTTATGATAATATAATTAAATAACACAGTAAGGCATTTTAAGTAGTGGATCCGTCATGGATTCGGATATTTTGCGCAGCACAAAATCATCCTAGTAAAAAGTCCATACTTTTAAATACAAACCAATGGCAACCATTATCCAAATTAGTTCCCAAGAGCGGGATAAAGTATAAATTCTTTTTCCGACTTGTGACAATTTTTCGAGAGTACGAAAATAAGAATCATAAACTGATTATATTCGGCACAATATCACGGCAATCTGTGGACATAAATTGTGTGGCAAACTGGCGATTAATATTAATTTTTGATTCCTATTTTCGTATTTACAAAATACAACGGCGATGTGTGGTAAACTACCCGATTATAAATAGTTTTTGATTCCTATTTTCTATTAATGAAATAATAAAAGTATTATTACTAAAACATACAACGGCGATCTGCGGACTTGAAATGTGTGGTAAAGTTCCCGAATATAATTAATTTTTGATTCGTATTTTTGTACTCACGAAAAAATTGTCACAAGTCGGAAAAATACCTCATACTCTATCTCGCTCTTTGACAAATAATTTGGATAATGGTTGGTATTTAAAAGTATGGGCGTTTTACTAGGATGGTTTTGTGTTGCGGAAATATTCAAATCCATCATCGATACCACTATTGTCGTATTAATTTAATTTTGTTATCATGACTCATGGTATATAAAATATATACTACAATAATCTGCAAATATGAAATGCCTGGTAATTTGGCTGCGTTGTAACTTTAGATAGCAGTTAATCCATTGCTTATTGTATGGAAATTCCTACATACATTTAGATAAGCTTCAATTAGTGGATTTTATTTTCGAAGTATTCGAAATTTCATATTCGAAAAAAATAATTTCGAATGTATTCGAAATAGTGAACTATTCGATATTGACCATCCCTGTATATTGTATTTAGAATATAAATGATAAATAGTTGTTAATCAATAATGTAAGTACCTTAGTTTTGGACTTGATCCAAAAAATAAAAAGCGACAGCGACAATAAAAGTCGAGTGTTACAATATCTTTTCAGCACTATTTCTTTTTGAAAAGTCAATAAAACGCAGACTGCTTTCAACAAAGCCTTTATATAATCAGCAATATAAATAAAATATGTAGCCCAGAGCTAATCTTCTTGATATTGTTCTTTGTTTTATATTATTCCGACGCTGATAATTATATTACTTTATGATTTCTAAACAAGCTGTAAACGAGAGAAATTAAGAGGAGTTTACGTTAGTTCTGCCCTGTCATTACAGGCACTTGCGTGACATTGGTAAGTAAACATTAGTAATCCCCGACAGTCACATACGTCACAGGAGAAGTTGTTCCTTACGTCTCAATCAGTAAAGCTTCTAGAAAAGTAAATCTAACCTTATACAAAAAGATGGTTCTGTTTTTGTATGTATTTGGAGCTTATAGAAAATTTATGAACAGATAGGCCTTTACTTCTGAATAGAAAGGATAAATTAATTACGAAATATCAATTATAAAGTCACATTTTCTCACATTTTTAAAATTTCAGCTGTATAATTTGTCTCTAAATAACACTTATTAATTAATAGATGAGTTTTCATAAATACCTGTATTGCCTTTAAAAAGCCTGATAACATCAATTATTTTAACTCAACTAAAAAAGTTGTTCATTAAATTAATCATGTTGCTATTACATCGCTACTAATGTGAGACATATGATAAGAAAGAATAATTGAAATGACATCACTACTATATCCTGAACTCGTAATCGGTTTCTACTTATACAGTCACGGGAAGGAACAACCCTTATAAACAAAACTAAATAGATCAGCAAATATACATTGAACACTGAATTTTAAAAATATGATGAGTGCAAAACAACATACGACAAGGCACCGGATATGTGCTCGTAAGTTACAAACTAATCATTGACATTTTCGTGTGAGACAATTTTACTAAATGCAGTTTCAATATCACTAGCGGATTAATGCCCTTTCGAAACTAGATAGATTTATCATAATGGTCTGGTAGATTATACCTTGAGGCTAGAGCAGTCAAGCACTGTATCATATGACATCACAGCCATACAAATCAATAATATTGCCAGATATGATTTATAAATAGGCTAGCCACACACAATATCCTGTTTAATGAGTTGTTATAAAGAATAATGATACAACCAAAAACACAACCGTTAATACAGTCCTATATATATTTTATTGTTTCAATTTAGCAATTGAAAATACCAGTTATTACATTTCCACTAACAGGCATGTACGGTATGAAGAATTTTTGAATAAAAAGCTTAAGTATATTAGAATACACTAGCCATCAGCATGTTTAATTGTTTTAGGGCAATTCCATAAGAAATGAGACATATCCTCTTAACTCATCATGCCAATACACTAAAATGTCAGTATTTCATTCCAGATAAAAATATTCTTTGCAGTCTTATTAGTACTGTAACCTAATCAGGGCTGGCTCTCTTTTTCCAAATACCGATATAAGAAAATTAACGCATCGATGAAATGAAAGTATATTTAATAAAATTGATGACAATAGAATTAAAACCTGAAACGTTTTGCAATAGTTT